CAAAGCAATCGATTGAGTTTACCGGAGTTACTCCGGCGGCCCGGCCGGCGGCGGCATCTCGCGGCGGCTGCGGCGTGACGCAGGCGTGGACGCGACTGTTGTGGGCTTCCAAACGCGCGTGTAATTTAGCCCGTGGGCCTTTCATCCGGGGAATGGGCCGGTAACCCGAGCTGCCAAATGAGCCTACCAGGTTTTTCCCCCTCCATTCATATATCGCGATCTCGAGTGAAAATTTGAATGATGGGTTCATGATACCATGATTGAGACACATTACATTGTTTTAGGGATATTTTTATTTCATACACATGAGTTCAAATTTTCTCAAGAGGAGCACTAGAATTTATTCAGTGGATTAATCCGTTTCTATTCTACAAATAAGGTTTACAAATTAACCATCAAATCATCGCACATGCATTGCCCTTCAAATAATCATCCCACAGGCAATATCATATAGGAGCACTAGTTTAAACCAGGGTCTAACATCGCACATTCTAGTGTCACAAAACATAGCACGATGACATGTGCAAAGCCACAGAACATCTCTCGCAAAAGAATGATCTACGTCTATTGCTATGTTGAACAAAACCAATACTTTCGGAGTTACCATACTATGTGTACCACGGTAGCTAATGCTTCCAATTAATACTACCCCATTTGCTTTACAATAGTCATCTTCTAAAACTTGGATAAGAGAAATTGAGTGGCAGCCTCAGAGTCAAAATCAATAACCGACTGAAGATGATATAGAAATTAAAATCTTCCTGGTTTTTACACATACTAGCTCAAGGTAATCTACTGTCGATTTTTGTGCTCACTGAATTTATCACTTTCGTTTTTTTTTTGTTTTTCTACATTCTGTAAAAAGTGATATCGATATTCAGTTTCAACAATAAACAAACAAACAAATAAATTGACCAAAACTTTGTTTTTTTTTTGAGATAGACCAAACTTTTGTTGATAGGACATAAAATGGTCAAAGTTTCTCGAGAGAACATAAAATGGTCTTCTTCTCTTAACAGTTCAAGTGGTTTGCGACTGCCTCCTTCCGACCTTCCCTACGAAGCATCGCACATTCCCACGCGGCGCACGGCCTCCATCAGTCCACCACCCAAAGTGGATCTCGGCCACCCCACCTCCACCCCGCCCGCTCGCCTCGCCTCGCCCCACTCCGCCGCAGCCGCAGCCGCGAGCAAGCGAGCGAGCCCAACTCAACTCAACTCATCCAACCAACCCAACCCCCTCCGCTTCCAGATCCCTCCACTCCACGCGTTGCCGCCTCCTCTCCAGATCTCGATCCCTCCCCCGCGGCCGCGGCCATGGCCGCCGCCGCCCTCCGCCTCGCCGTACTCGCGGTCGCGATCGGGGCCCTGGTGGCGTCGTCGTCGGCCGCCGTGTGCCCGCACGCCAACCACACCGCGCCCTTCGCCGCGGACTTCACCATGCTGCAGCACCAGCTCCGCGGCACGGTCCGCCTCGCCGACGACGACTCCTGCGCGCTGCGCCTCACCCGCTTCGACCTCCTCGCGGCCTCCCCCTCCGCGCGCTTCTGGGCGGCGCGGGGGGACTCCCTCGCCGACCTCGCCGCGGGCCGCGCCTTCTCGCCCCACCCGCTCAACTCCACCTTCCGCAACGCCACCCTCCTGCTCCCCTTCTCCGCCCCGCTCCCGCCCCTCCTCGCGCTCTTCGACCCCGACACTTCCTCCGACCTCGGCCACGTCTTCCTCCCCGTCTCCGCCTCCGCCTCCGCCTCCAACGCCACCGATGATTCCGGCGTCGCCTCGCCCTCGCCGTCGCCGGAGCCTGTTCCCACCATGTTCGACAACTGCCTCCCTCTCGCCGAGAACAAGTACCGTCTCCGTTGGACGCTCAATGCCTCCGCCGGCACAGTCGAGATCGGCCTCGAGGCCGCCGTGGGCTCCGAGTACTACATGGCGTTCGGGTGGGCTGATCCCAAGGCCAATTCTCCCGCCATGATCCATTCCGATGTTGCCGTCGCCGGATTCACCGAGGAAGGTATGCCATTCGCCGAGGACTACTACATAACCGACTACAGCGAGTGCACGCTGGGGACCGATGAATCGCCGGTATCTGGTGTGTGCCCTGACAAGGTTTATGATGAGGGGAAGAATGATTCATTGCTGGTGTACGGTCACCGGCGGGATGGAGTGTCTTTCGTGAGGTATCAGAGGAAGCTTGACACTGGGGATACCAAGTATGATGTGCTGGTGAGTGCCACGGAGGAGATGGCGGTTGTCTGGGCCATTGGGAAGCTGCGGCCGCCGGATACTCTGAGGCCACACTACCTCCCGCAGAACCATGGGGGGCCGAGGGACACAACCTATGGGTTTGCAAGGGTGAATTTGTCGGAAACGGTGGACAGCTGCAACGGACCATTGGATGCTGACAACAAGGAGGATCAGGAGAGGATCATCGCGGATGCAAAGACACCCCTGGTGGTGACATCTGCTCCAGCCGTCCGCTACCCAAACCCACCAAACCCTGACAAGGTGATTTACATCAACAAGAAGGAGGCTCCTCTGCTGAAGGTTGAGAGAGGTGTGCCAGTGAAGTTCTCAGTGCAGGCTGGGCATGATGTTGCACTTTACATCACGTCGGATCCAATTGGGGGGAATGCTACACTGCGGAATAAAACAGAGGTCATATATGCTGGCAGCCGGGATGCTCATGGTGTACCAGCAACTCCTACAGAGCTGCTTTGGCTGCCTGATCGGAATACACCTGATCTAGTCTACTACCAGTCATTGTATGAACCGAAGATGGGTTGGAAAGTTCAAGTTGTTGATGGAGGCCTTAGTGACATGTATAATAGCAGCGTCCTTTTGGATGATCAGCAGGTTACTCTGTTCTGGACTCTGTCCCATGATTCTATATCTATAGCAGCTCGAGGTGAGAAGAAAAGTGGGTACCTTGCTGTTGGGTTCGGGAGTGGCATGCTGAACAGTTATGCTTATGTTGGCTGGGTTGGCAATGATGGAGTTGGGCGAGTCAAGAGTTACTGGATTGATGGAAAGAGTGCAGCGGGCATCCACCCAACATCTGAGAACTTAACCTACGTCAGGTGTAGGTCAGAAAATGGCATTATTACATTTGAGTTTACTCGTCCTCTTAGGCCTTCCTGTAGTGGAAGGGTAGAGTGTAAGAACATTATTGATCCAACCACGCCCCTTAAGGTCGTTTGGGCTATGGGTGCAAGCTGGTCAGGTAACAGTCTTACAGATAGTAACATGCATTCTATCACAAGCAGTCGCCCCATACGTGTGCTTTTGTTGAGAGGTTCTGCTGAGGCAGAACAGGACTTGCGTCCTGTTCTGGCTGTTCATGGGTTTATGATGTTTGTTGCCTGGGGCATCTTGCTTCCTGGTGGAATACTGGCTGCCCGGTATTTGAAGAACTTGAAAGGTGACGGGTGGTACCAAATACATGTCTATCTGCAATACTCAGGAATTGCTATAATGTTCCTTGGTGTCCTTTTCGCTGCAGCTGAACTCAGAGGTTTTTATGTCAGCTCAGTGCATGTTAAATTTGGTGTCACGGCTCTGCTGTTGGCAGGTCTTCAGCCACTAAATGCCTACTTCCGGCCCAAGAGACCAGCTAATGGGGAGGCTTCATCCTGGAATCGTGTCCTCTGGGAATACCTTCATGTTATCACAGGCAGGTCGGCAATCATAGTCGGAATTGTGGCACTTTTCACTGGAATGAAGCATTTAGGCCATAGGTATGATAGCGAGAATGTAGAGGAGCTCACTTGGGCCTTGATGCTGTGGGTGCTTTCTGCTATAGTTATAACACTTTACTTGGAGTATAAAGAGGTCAAACGGAGGAGCGGCGACACAAGCTCTAGAGGGCACTGGGTGTTAGGTAACACCGAGGAAGACGATTCAGTTGATCTTTTGCATCCTGACAGTACAGACAGGAATTCAGAATCAAGTCCTTCTGGTGTGATGGAGGTCCAGCTTGAACCTCTTGCTAGATGACATATATCAACATATATTTATCCCCCAGAGTCAGATACAAATACACCAATTCCTATTTTCACATATATGGGTGAGATCCACAGGTCGTGATAATTTGCTGCTTCACAAGAATCTAGTATTTATATGGCAGGATGATGCCAGGCAACACAAGATCTCCAAACTGTCTTAAATTTCCTATTTACATTGTATAGTGTACATTTTTGACAAATAGACAGGCACAATTTATTACATTACCCAAGTGATTCTTTTTCAGTCAGTTTAGAGATAAGAGAGGGATGCTAGTTGAGGTGTTTATTTGCACATTCGCAGCATCATTAGCTGAGCTGTGTATTGAAGAGAATGCTAGAAACCATGTATCATATCCACTCTGAAGTCGGATACTATTCATTTTGAGAAGAGGCAAAGCGATTTTACACTATTATGGTTGTCTGTCTGTGTCCTGTGCTCTCTAGATACAGTACATCTGTCAAATACTTCATTCTCTCCATATTTGTTGGGAAATCCTAATTTTGTTGTTGCTGTTTTGTCCATCCTGTTTCTGATATGATTTTATATAGTGGGCTTGTTGCCTGACTGTTTTTAATTAATGTTTGATTTCCCAAATAATATGACTGTTTACTCCAGTTTTTCCAAAGCTTCGTCACCTGCCAACTCCTGATCATTAACCAGCTCAATGAAACGAAAACAACGCACCTCCAGAAGCAATGAAGCCTTTGTGAGTTGCAGCTTGTAATTATATTATATTATTTTGTTTACCAGGCGTCACACAAAGAACGTGATATTCCTTATATAAGATGATGATAATTAAAGTTGTAGGTGGTATGACCTTAATTAGTTAACTAGTACTACTTGGTTTTAAATCGCTTTTTGTGAGATTCAGAGATGTAACATTTTTTTCAGTTGTTTCGCGTGTTCTTTGTGGAGTGGGCAGCTTCCCAACCCGGACACCACACACGCCCAAAAAAAAGCGCTCCCTTTCTTCACGCTGAAACGCGCCGTATCGGTCAACACTTCAGTGGAAACGGGGGTAATAAAGTACTAATTCTCCTTCCATAATTAAATATACTTCCGTACTTTGATGAAAAATTTGTGCCACTACGACCACCAGATTATTTATAGATAAACAAAATTCGTCCGAGCGAGCGAGCGACGTGCACGAACCAGACCAGAGTTCAGGTTGGTTTTCGTAGACGTATCACCAGGAGGCTGTCTGTTGGCTTGGCTGTTCCAGCAAGTCATCAATAATCATATCGTCGTCTTCTCTGGGAGACCCGGAGAGTGTAGCTTCCTCCCTAGCTGTCCGCGACTCCGCGACCGACGGCGGCGGCGGCAGATGGAGAGGAACCAGCACCGCGACGGCGACGGCGACGGTGAGGGACGCCATCATCATGTCGTCCAGGTCCCAGCGTCAGGTCTGTCCTTCTTCTTTTCTTCTCTGTTTTTTTTCCTAATTGCCGAGCAAAACCTAGTGAGCTTCCTCCCTTGATTCTACCAATTCTCATCGTCGGTGTGAATAATTCGTGCTCATCTGCGTAGTTTTAGGACAAAAGAAGGCCATGGCACTACGTTTTGTGTGTACCTTCAATTGGGAAGGATTTTCTGAGTTATTTGGGAGTAGAGTATTACTGCTTCTTGAGCTTGGTAGCTACTGTAAAAATTAACAACCCTTCAAAAAAAAGGCTTCTTTTTTTTCACTTGAAGCTGACTCCCTTTGCAAAGTTGATGTCGCAGTCCTAATTCAACTCTTCTATTTTTGTTTCTTGATTTTGGAGACTCTGATGTGCCATGAGAATTGTTGAGGTTGTTGCGGGGCCATGACAATTGTGTGCGTGTTTTTCCTGTAGCAGATTTTCGCGTATTTTTTTTTCTTATTTGTCTCCTGCATGCCGAAAGTTTTGGATTTTTTTTTACATAATACGATTTTAATGGAAAATTGCAAAAATATAGGTCGGTTAGGCGAAATCGCAAGTTTAGTACCCTGTTGAACAACCACGATTCGACAGGAGAACCTATCGAACATCTGCATATCGACGGGTATTTGTCGAACTGTGGCAATTTAACAAGGTAGTTGGTCAAGAAAAAAAAATTTAAAAAGTACGCAGAGACATATCAAGCAAGCAAAGAACGATAGGAGGACATATCGAACAGGCAGTGTTCGACAGGGATGATGCTACAGTGATGCTACAATGTTTTTTTCTCTTTTTTTAAATTATTTTATTACCTGTCGAACTGATAGGTGTCCTATCGAACTACGGTTGTTCGATAGGGTGCTCGATTTCACCTAATCGACATATATTTTTTACGATTTTTCATTAAAATCGTATTATTTCCAAAAAAAAATTCAAAAGTTTTGCAGACCTGGAAACAAACACAAAAGAAGGTTTGTTTGGTTATACAATAATGTTATTATGCATGGTACAATTGTCATGAAGAATTAATAAATATGGTGGGAAAACATTAATAAGTATGGTACAATTGTAATATTATATTTTGTTTTTTTAAAATAATTTTGGATTTGTGGGATCCAAACAACATCATTGTTATTTAGCAATAATGAAATTTATTTTGTTGGATCATACTAGTATTGCAGAAATCTCTAGGCACTCAACCATTCACTCTGTTTTATTTCTGGAGTTACTACCAATCTAACCATGTTTTCAAATGTTAACACAACGTTATTGTTCAGAAAATACTCCTCTTCACCAAGCTGGAGCTGTAGACAGAATCCGAAATCTTCTGAATTTTATTCAGATAATGATGAAATCTTCTGAATATTTGTCCCTGTCATGAACAGCAGTAGAAGTTGCAGCAATGGAGGAGACCTCATCAGAGGCAGCAGATCGCTCTCTGCGTCAGAAGGCAGCAGCGATGGTTGCCTCCTCCATGGAGACGTACCGGAGCAAGCCCATGTCCTTCTGGCTGCTGCTCGTCCTCAGCGCCGGCGCGATGCTCACAGCGTTCCCGGCGTCGAGCCTCCTGTCGCGGCTGTACTACAACAACGGCGGGCAGAGCAAGTGGATCCTGTCGTGGTCCGCCGTCGCCGGCTGGCCGCTGCCGGCGCTCCTCCTGCTGCCGTGCTACCTCGCCGGCAAGGCGGCGCCGACGCCGCTGTCGCCGAAGCTGTGCGCCTGGTACGCGCTGCTCGGCCTCCTGAGCGCCGCCGACAACCTCATGTACGCCTGGGCCTACGCCTACCTCCCGGCGTCCACGGCGTCGCTCGTCGCCGCGTCGTCGCTAGCGTTCTCGGCGCTGTTCGGCTGCGCCATCGCGAAGAACAGGCTGCGGCTGTCGTCGCTGAACGCCGTCGTCGTCATAACCGCCGGCGTGGTGATCATCGCGCTGGACTCCGGGTCGGACAGGTACCCCGGGATCACGGGCAGGCAGTACGCGCTGGGGCTCGTCTGGGACGTGCTCGGGTCGGCGCTCCACGGCCTCATCTTCGCGCTGTCGGAGCTGGTGTTCGTCCGGGTCCTCGGCCGGAGGTCGTTCCACGTCGTGCTGGAGCAGCAGGCGATGGTGTCGCTCTGCGCCTTCGCGTTCACCACCGTCGGGCTCGCCGTGAGCGGCGGCGGCTTCCCGGCGATGCGGCGGGAGGCGGCGGCGTTCAGGCACGGCGAGGCGTCGTACGCGATGGTGATGGTGTGGTCGGCGGTGACGTTCCAGCTCGGGGTGCTGGGGGGCACCGGCGTGCTGTTCCTGGCGTCGACCGTCCTCGCCGGCGTGCTCAACGCCGTGAGGGTGCCGGTGACGAGCATCGCGGCGGTGATCTGGTTCCATGACCCCATGAGCGGCTTCAAGATCCTGTCTCTGCTCATCACCGTATGGGGGTTCGGCTCCTACATGGTTGGCCACTCCTCTACCAAGAAAGCATCCACAAATTGATGTACTCTTATTGTTCTTCTCCTGGAACATGAAAAATATGTGAACTGAGTATGTTCTTGTATTGACCAATGCTGCTGTGCTCTCATTCTCCTGAAAACATCCAGTGCGTTCTGCTTCTGCGCCAAATATTCGATCATCGTCCAGCAAGGACACGGAGAGGGATGAGTAGCGAGAGATGGACGTTGCAGGTGAAGAGGTTGGGGTTGGGGCATTGCGTCGAACAGCTGGCGGGCTGTTGGGCGCAAGGTGACCAGACTGCCTCCCATATGCGGCATAGCACGTAGGAGTGAAAACGGTACGGAAACGGACGGAAACCATCTTTATCGTTTTCGTTTTCATATTTTTTTTCAGAGTCGAAATCGGAAACCCCGGATACGAAAACGGAATCGAATATTATCGAAACCGAAAACGGAGCGAAAATGAACCGGCGCGAATACGGTAACGAAAATTTATCGAAATAAAAAACCCATCAAAGTGATAAATCCAATTGAAAGAGTAATGTTGTTGATAAATTCCAATGTAGGACAAAAAATATTCTTATGTAATTTTAGATTTGCATAACACATATTTTTTATAAAAATAACAGCCAAACACCATGGTATTCACTATTTAGTGCTTAAAAAAAGAATCCAGGGTATTTTAGTCACAAAATTTCTAGTACTTCTGAGAAAATTTTCGGAAAGTTTCGGACCGATTCCGAGTTCCGACGGAAACTGCCCTTATCATTTCCGATTCAGTTTCCAAGAAAATATTTCCGAATTCGTTTCCGTTTTCGAAAAAATTCCGACCGACAGATTCCATTTTCGAAAATAGGTCCGAATCCGGAAGTTTTCCTAATAGCACGCCGTTGTTCATAGTGTTAAGCCTAAGGCCTTGTTTAGTTTTCAAATAAATTTGCCAAAAAAACGTCACTTCGAATCTTTGGACATATGCATGGAGCATTAAATATAGATTAAAAAAACTAATTGCACAGTTTACATAAATCGCGAGACGAATCTTTTGAACTTAATTAGTCTATAATTAGTCATAAGTACTATAATAACCCACATGTGATTAGCCATAAGTGCTATAGTAACCTATATGTGCTAATGGCGAATTAATTAGGTTTAATAAATACGTTTCGCAATTTTCAGAGGAGTTATGAAAAATTTAGATACCTCAGGAACTTAAAATTCCCTCAACATGATGTGGTAAGTTGAGGATGAGCTAGTGGAGAATTTCGGTTCAGAGATGACTGTCAGACCCTGGGACAAATCAAGGGACCTCTAGTGAACTTATTCTATTCCACAAAGGAGAATCGGGCCGCAATGTTAGGCAGCCCAGGTCAGGTCGCCGCCGCCGCCGCGTCGTCGTATCCTTCCTTCAACCAACCCTCGCCTCTAGGCAGACGCTTCGCAGAGGCAAAAGCTCGAACACATGGCGCGCGCCCTAGTCCGCCGGGCTCTCTCCCTCGCCGCCGCGGCCTCCTCCCCGGCGAAACCATCCTTCTCCACCGTCGTCGCGCCGCTGCGCTCCCCGATGGACGACCGCCTCCTCCGCCTCCTGCGCTCCGAGATCAACTACATCTCCGAACGCCGCCCTCCCTACCCGGTATCCTCTCATCCTAACGTGCCTATCCCCCATCTTAGCTCTCTCTCTCTCTCTCTCTCTCTGTGTGTGTGTGTCTTCTCTGATTCGCCGAGAAACGAATGCGTTGCAGCCGCCGAAGGCCTTCAAATCGTTCGGGGTGGAGGACCGCCCGGGGGAGCAGTGGGTGCGCCTCCGCGCCACCCGCGGCGCCCAGGACGAGGAGGTCAAGGTCGACGCCACCATGTTCGACGGCGCCGCCGCCCCGCCCCCAGACGCGCCCCTCTTCCGCCGCGTCGAGTCGCTCGAGCGCGGCCCGCGCCTCCACCTCAGCCTCATCGTCGAGGTCTCCCGGGCGGACCGCGTCCTCGGCTTCATCTGCTCCGCCTGGCACGACGAACTCGTCGTCCGCCACGTCCTCACTCTCCGGGACGCCGATGGCTCCAGCACCAGCAGCGGAGGCCGCGACTTCGTGTACGGAAGCTTTTGTGATTTTGCTCTCTGGTTTATGTGGTCTGTGATGATGTTCCTCTTCTGTGAATGATTCGCAGCAAGCTGGAGGCTAGGGAGAGGGAGTCGGTGAGGAAATTCTTGCAGGAGAGGGAGGTGGATGACGAGCTTGCCGAGTTCTTGCACGACTACATGGCGAACAAGGAAAAGATGGAGCTTCTCCGGTGGTTGAAGACTGTCGAATCATTCGTCGAGAAGTAGGCACAGGAGAAGCAGATAAATCAGGTGAGATTGTTAATTCGTCGTAGATACATTTAGAACTATGAGATTAAAGACACAGCATAGTTTTACAGTTAATAACTTGGAAGGGATGGGCAGGGAATCCAATCCCTTGGTTGGCTTGGCTTGGCTTGGCTCCACGCTTTCGAGAAGAAGCACACAGACAAAATCACAGATACTAGTTCTTAACTCTTTGAGTGACCGAGCTCGAGCTAAAACCCTACTACAGTTAATGACTGAACCTGTTTTCCTCCGCAATGCTTGTTGTAGTAAAGAAATGGTGAGGAGGTAAGAAATAGTTGCTGATCACTAGTAAGGAAAAATACAGTAATTTCATAGGTAGGGATTTTGAAACTTTAATTTTATTGATGTCTATGATGAGTTTAATCCAACTAGTCTAAATGGAGAAAGAGATTATAGATCAATAAAGTTATGGCTGTCAATTTTGCAGTCACCAGAAAATTTGGAGACCCTGAACATTTTGTCTTGGCTTCCTTTTCTGTTAGTTGAGTCATACGACCTGTAGACTGTAGAACAAGTGGTACTAGAGTAGGCAGGACATTCAATTATCAAGATTCTAAAAGGTGGCAAGGGCTATTGTGTTGTCACCTGCATTGCAGTGCTTACAGCCTTACATGGCATAGCTGGCCTATTGTGTGGCTTAAGCAGTACAAGGTTAGGATCCCGTTCCTTGTGCGGCCCTGTAAATCTTGTTTTAGAACATTGTTATTGATGCACTGAGGGTACTGAGTTACAGCCAGATGTTGGTTCTGAAGTTTCTTCCTATCAATCATACAGAGTATGGAACAGGCAGTTTCTTTCTGGTTTTTGGTGGATGAACATGCAGTTTCTTAGGTAGTGTATCTGTCAGAGTAACCCTTCTACACAGGCCAGTAGGTTACCATTGGTAATTTCTGGCAAGGCTAATAATCTATAAGTGACCTTCATATATAAGTTCCCAATAGTTTCTAGTAAGGCGAGCATGGACATATTTAAGTGACCTTCGTCAATAAGCAGTTTACATCACTGGCATAGCTGGCATAATGTGGGCATAGCTGGCATATTGTGGCTCAAGCAGTACAAGGTTAGGAACTAGGATCCCTTTCCTTGTGTGCGACCTTGTAGACCTTATGTTAACATTGGTATTGATGTACTAAAGATACTAAGTTACAATCATATGTTGGTTCTGAGATTTCTTCCTATCAATATTCAATCATACTCTAGTATGCAACATGCAGTTTCTTTCTAGTTTTGGTGGATGAATATGCAGTCTCTTAAATAATGTATCTGTCAGAGTGTGAAACGATATTAACTCTTTCACCCAAGCCGGTAGGTTAGCATCGTTAATTTATAGCAAGGCCAACAATCCAATATGACGTCCAAGAGCATGGACATATTTAAGTGACCTTCATCAGTAAGCAGTTTACATTACTGGAATGAGATTTGGTAACTATATGTGCCTGATCACCTCATTTACATTTTGGAGTGTCCTATTTCAAATCAAGTAGGAGCATCAACAATTAGTCTTGTTCATCCTTTTTATCAATTAATTACCCCTGAATTAACAATCAGTGTTGTCCATTTGTCATTGTAATTTGGTTTCCTGAAACCTTTGAAGTCTGAACTCCATTTTGCATTTGCAGGAGTTCCTTGCTGGTATCCGCATGACTCTGGACTTATTTCAAAGTTCAAACTATGGGAACTGAAAACAAATAGCGTCTGGGAAGTGATGATAAGAGCTGCTGTCCTACACACCATGTAAATTATCCACCTCAGTGGTTCAATCCCATTGTTCGTGCTGTATGACTCTAGCAATGAGCTGGGTTTTCAGCATATTCTGTGGTTCAATTCTAGTCACATTTGAGAAGATCACTAGGCACGCTCGTCTGATTATATTGGTGCTATGGAGCACTACCATTTGCTGTGGAATACAGACAATTCTTATGCGGTTGGTTGTATGGCAATTGCTCGCCTATTCATTTTTATTTTAAACAATATAAGTAGATCTCCTACTGTGCTTGTTTTGAATTGCTATTGGTTGTATTATCGCCGGTGGTGATTTGCTTGTGCCTGACGATAGCCTGATGTCTGGTAAGGCCACTCGAGCAATCTGCTTTCCTGATCAGATCAGGCGGTGGACGTCTCAGATCGATCTGTAGCATATGAACTACTCCCTCCGATTCTATTTTAATTGACGTTTTGGACAATGACATGGTTTACAAAATATATCTCTGACCTTATTTTTCTATTATAATATATACAATAAATAAATGTATGTTTACTTTTATTATAGTGCTTTAAAAAACAAATCTATATATGTTGTTTTAGTTGTTTTAAACTAAATATTTTTAAAGTTATTAATGGTCAAAGTTATAAAAATTTGATCTCAACTATGTCCAAAACGTCAATTAATATAGAATAGGAGGGAGTATGCGTATTGGCGAATACATTTCGTTGGCGGAGGAGGTCAAGTCGTGGCGAACGACCACTCTCCGCAACAAACTCTATTATCTGGTTTCATGAAAATGGAGCAGCGGGCTTCCCCTGCTATTTCTGAATTGTAGAGTAGGAAAAAAATATTTCTGAAACAGAATTATAAATTAAATCAATATGTTAACACCAGGCTCCAAAGACAACTCTCTGAACGATCAAACAGAGTCCAACAAGAGCATGAACATATCCATTCAAGGCAAATCTAAAATGTAGACATGCAGTCATGCACAATAACCAAAATACATAACGGGCATGCTTTTCAACAGCTAGCTCTAATTAATTTATGCCCGGGCATTATTTTCAACAGCTCAACTTAATTTATAATAATTTATGCCCGGGCATGATTCATAACAGCTCTAATTAATTTATGCCCGTTTAGTGCATGCATGGCTATTCCAAGTCCATAGGAATAACGCTGTCTTCAGTTTCGTCTTTAGTTCCCATACCAGATCCAGTATCCAGTTGCAATGGCTCATGCAAGTCAATAGGATTATCGCTCCTGCTGATTGTTTCACCCAGCCGCTTGTGAGGATATTGCATATGAAATTTCAAAGGTCTCTTCAGGTTTCCCTTTACACCTGCACCCAGTAAAACAGCAAAACAAAGGGCCCATGAATTAGTGCATATAGCCTACACACAAATGTACCTAACCCTTCATCCCAAGCCCTATGAGAGTATGACAAAAAGAAAACCTACGAGAGCATCAACCAATTTAGTTCAAGAATGTTTAAAAAATGCAAGAGCACCTAAAATGGTCTTCTCTCTCTCCACTTTGTTGGGGGCAGAAAAATTGTTTCTGTTTTCATTTCTGACAATTTCTTTTAAAGGCTCACTTTGTTTATGTGTATGTTCTTGATATAGCGTGCACTGACAAGAAAATTTTCATATGAAGGCAATCTAGAATCCAAAATGCAGTTGCATTTGACTGGGTTTGTGTTCCACATAGCTTGCATGTCATGTGCTCTCTACATCTTGTCTGGAACTGTACTCTATAACTTGTCTAGAATCTCACCAAAGGCTTCCATAATTAGAGAGGTAAAGAGTCTAGCGAGGTTCAAAATAATTCCAGCCTAAACTAACAAGTCCAACTAGCACTATAGCAGCAGCCACACAGGTTTAAAATACATCAGCAATCACAACTTTGAATCAGGTTTACTGTCGTATGCAACACAAAGTTACCGAAAAAAAAAGCAATAAGTAGAAAGAACAGCGCAAGAATTAAGTAATCACCTGCAGCTGTAGTGAAATATTGGGAGATGGTAGACTGCGTGTAGGAGTAATCAAAGTCGTTGATGATCCTCTCAGCATCATACACAGACACCATTTGAAGCCTTTTGTTGGCCATGTCAACCATCAACACCACCGCCTTCTCGTCAGAGGCGTCAACCTTGCCCATGACGTACACAACATTAGCATCCGTCAAGCTGAGCGTAGGAAGAGCTACCTGCAGCTTTGCCATGGCCGGGCGACCCTCCAGCTTAGGCAGGAGCTCGACGTTGCAACAAGTGGCGTCGACCGTGATGTCACTAGAATCTACCATGAAGCCCTTTTGCCAGTCCTTGCTGTTGTCCAGATGAGCCACCGGTTTGCTCCATGTGGACAGATCCCAGGACCAGCAATCAGTGTCTGAATCAAAGAAAGTACGCAGTCCGACAATGGTGAGAAGACCATTAACGATGGCAATGTCCCGGCAAAGAAGCTCATTCGAGAGCTGGTGAGCTCTGGCGGCAGTGGCAGGTAACTTCCAGGACAGCCATGGGCGAGCACGTTGCAGATGTGGATTCCCCGCTTGAGATCAATGAAGGCCACTACTCCCTGTCCATCATCATCCAGAGTAATTACCCTGCTCGTATTATAGACGATCATTTGACGCAGCTGGGGTAGAAGGAGGCTCTCCAGGCTCCACTTGCCATCGCCATGGATGGTGGACTCGTAGAGGCAGAGTTTGTAAGCTGCCGTAGATGGTGTGACTCGATGGAGGTCCAGATCCAGAGAGCACGACGGAGGAGGGCAATGTTGTGGAGCGAACGCAGGTAATCCCTCTGTAAGCTGGCGGCGTCGACGTCGACGGGGTCCCGGATGAGCGTGAGCGAAGGGCGGCCACCGGCGCGGTAGACGAGGTCGTAGACTACCTCGCTGTAGAGGCGGAGGAAGACGAGGTCGGCGTTGACGCAGCCTACGAGGGGCTCATTGGCGAAGATCCGGGCGGGGTCGCCGGTCGGGCACCAGGCGCAGATGTAGGAGACCTGCGGCGGTGGGGCGGTGAAGATGGTGATCTCGATTCGATGGCCATTGCCGAGATCGGCCGCGGCGGTGGTGGCGTTCCGGCGGTCGGCGATGTAGGCGCGGACGTCGAGGAGGATCCATGGTAGAGGCTGGTGTGCATCCAGAGGGTCCCCGCCATGGCAGGGCGGGCGCAGAGTGAGGTGTTCGGTTTTATTCCACATATAGCGGTCGACGGTAGCCATGGCTGAGGCTTCTCCTCCCGCCGGCGATCGTCGTCCGCCCAGCTGGGCTTAGCTTAAGTAGAGCAGAGTAGAGGAGTCGGAGTCGGAGACGACATGCAAATCGATCTCAGCAATCACAGGCAAGTTGGAATCGGAGGACGAAACATGATTTGGATAGGAACGGATTGCCGGCGACCGACGATCCGCACGATCTTCCGCCGCGTCGGGTCACTCGAGCATGGCATGGCCCGCGCATCCACCTCAGCGTCATCGTCGAGTTGAGGTCGATTGATTTCGCGCTCTGGTTCATGCGGTTTGTGAATTCTGTACGCTGTGAATGATTCGCAGGAAGTTGGAGGTTGAAGAGATGGAATCGGCGAAGAAATTCTTGGAGGGGAGGGAGGTTGATGACGAACGAGCCGAGTTCTTGAAAACAGGTGAGTTTTATACAGTCTTAACTGACTGAGTTTGAGCTTGAGACGTAATGCAGCTAATTGACTGAACCTATACTTTCCTGACATTTGCCTGACCACCTCATTCACATTTTTGGAGCATCAACAATTAGTCTTGTTCATCCTTTTTATCAATTCATTAACCCTGAATTAACAATCAGTGTTGTCCATTTGTCGTTGTAATTTGGTTTCCTGAAACCTTTAAGTCTGAACTCCCTTCTGCATTTGCAGGAGTTCCTTGCTGGTATCCGCATGACTTGGGAACTGAAAACAAATATACTCCAGGCGACGGTTCTACTCCACATGTAGTGGTCGACGGTAGACATGGCTGCGGCCTCTCCTCCAGCCGGCGATCGTCCGCCCGGCCGGGCTAGCTTAAGTAGAGCAGAGCAGAGTAGAGGAGCCGGAGAGGTTTAACCATGATGATTTTTTTTGACACCTTAACCATGATGATTTGGAATCAAGACAAGTTGGAATCGGCGAAAGATGATTTGGATAGAAACGGATTGCCAGCCTAATCAAAGACGCAGCATAGTTTACAGTCTTAACTCTAGTACAGAAATGGTGAGGAGGTAAGAAATAATCGCTGATTACAAGTGAGACAAAATGTGTAGTATTTTAATATGTAGAGATTTTGAAACTTAAATTTTCTTGATGTCTATGATGAGTTTACCCCTGACTAGTCTAAATGGATAAAGAGATAATAGATCAATAAGTTATGGCTGTCAATTTTGCAGTCACCACAAAATTTGATTTTTGGAGACCCTGGACATTTTGCCTTGATTCCCTTTTCTGTTGAGTTGAGCCATACGACCTGTAGACTGCAGAACAGGTAGTACTAGGAAATTCAATTCCTTTGATCATTTTTTATCAAGATTCTAAAAGATGTCAAGGGTTATGTGTTGTCGCCTGCCTTACATGGCATAGCTGGCCTATTGTGTGGCTTAAGCAGTACAAGGTTAAGATCCATTCCTTTGTGCGGCCTTGTAGACCTTGTTTTAGAACATTGTTATTGATGCACTAAATGTATACTGAGTTACACAATCAGATGTTGGTTCTGAGGTTTCTTCCTATCAATCATACTCCAGTATGGAACATGCAGTTTCTTAAATAATGTATCTGTTAGTGTGAGACGTTAACCCTTTTACCCAAGCAGGTAGGTTAGCATTGTTAACTTATAGCAAGGCCAATAATCCAATACGAAATTCAGGAGTATGGACATGTTTTAAGTGACCTTCATCTATAAGTTTACATCACTGGAATGAGAAATTCGGTAACTATATGTGCCTGACCACCTTGTTCACATTTTGGAGTGTGATATTTCAAATTGAGTAGGAATATCGACAGCCAATCTAGTTCTTTTATAATTCATTACCCAGAATTAGCAATCAGTCTTATCCATTTGTCATTGTAATTTGATTTCCTGAATGTTTGAAGTCTGAATGTTCGAGTTCCTTGCTGGTATCAGCAAGACTTTGGAGATAGTTTCAACCTGTGGGAACTGAAAACTAAGGCTGCAGGCCTCTGGGAAGTGGTGTTAAAAGTTGCTCTCATACATGCCATGTAAATTATCCACCTCAACAGCTCAATCCTATTGTTCAAGCCATGTATGACTCTAGTAATAAGATGGGTTTTAGCTTATTCAGTGGCTCAGTTCTAGTAGAAAAACTGCAATTCCATTTGAGAAAATCACTAAGCACGCTCATCTGATTATATTGGTGCTCTGGTGCACTACCATTTGTTGTTGAATACAGACAATTCGTATGCGGTTGGTTGTATCGCAATTCGTATACTAATTAATCCAACTCCATAGGATTATTCCCATCTTCAGTTTCATCTCTAATTTTCGAACCAGGTCCACCCTGCCGCTTGTGAGGATATTGTATATGGAACTTCAAAGGTCGCTTCAGGTTTCGCTTTAAACCTGCAAACCAGTAAAACGGCAAAACAAATTAAGTGCCCATGTGTTAGTGCAAATAGCCTACAGATACATGTGCCTAACCCTTCACGCCAAGTCCTATGAAAGTATGATATGATAAAAAAAAAGTCCTATGAGAGCCAACTTTGAATCAGGTTTACTATGGTATTCATCACAAGGTTTCCCCAAAAGAAAAACAAGATGCAGAAAGAAAAAAAAACAGGCCAGGAATGAATCAATAACTTTGTCCCGTGCTGATCTTTCTTTGATTGTAAATAACTTTTATTTCTCATAATGTGAAAAATGCGTCACTGGCGTATTCCCGAAAAAAAAAAAAGAGAATCAATCACCTGCAGCTGCTGTAGTGAAATATTGGGAAATGGTAGAGTGCGTGTAGGCGTAATCAAAATCGTTGACAATTCTTTCGGCGTCATACACAGATACCTCTTGTAGCCTCTTGTTTGCCATGTCAACGGTGAGCACCAGTGCCTTCTCATCGGAGACGTCAACCTTGCCCATGATGTAAACAATGTGGGCGTCCATCAAGCTGAGTGTTGGATGAGCTAACTGGAGCGTATCCGTTGTCGGGCAACCATCATCCAGCTTGGGCAGGAGGCAGGCGTTCCGAGTGCTGTTGTCAATCGAGACGTCACTGGACTCGATCATGAAGTCCTCACGCCATTCATCGTCCAAACAAGAACTGACTGGCTTGCTCCATGTGGTCAGATCCCAAGTGCAGTAATCGTCATCGTCCGAATCGTCATCATCTGAATCGAGGAGGTAAAGACTCAGTCTGACAACGGTGAGACGACCATTGACGATAGCAATGTTACGGCAAACAGATGAATTGTAGGTCCTGCGGGCATCGATGAGCTCCGGTGGCAGCGGCATGTAGCTGCCTCCCACTGGTGTGCTGTTGTCGAGCACGTTGCAGATGACGATGCCCCGCCAGAGATCAACAAAGGCCACTAGTGGTTGTTCATCATCCAGGATGAACACCTTCTCCGTTAAATGGAGAACGGTATCTTTGTCTGGCGCGTTGCGAAGTTGGTCAAGAAGAAGGATGGTGTTGCTCCATTTGCAGTCCATGGAATCGTCTTCGTCGTAGAGGCAGAGCTTGAAGTGGCCAAGATCGAAGCGGCGATCCCGATCGAGCGAGCTAACGTAGAAGCGGCCGCTGCCATCATGATCGTCGTCATCAGCGCCGGCAGCATGGCGGCGGCGGTCGGGGAGGACGACAACGTTGTCGATACGACGAAGGTAATGGTATGGGTTGTAGGGGTTGTATGGGTTGTGGATGAGCTTGAGCGATGGGCGAGAGCTGGCATGGTAGATGAGGTCGTAGATTTGATCACTATGGACGCGGAGGAAGACGACGTCGGCGTCGACGAACCCGACGGCGGGCTCCTTGGCGAAGAACACGGCGGGGTCGGTGGTAGGGGACCAGGCGCAGATGTAGGAGACGAGCGGCGGCGGCGCGATGCAGAATGTGATCTGGATTTTGCGGCCGTTGCTGAGGACGATGGTGGCGGTGGTGGAGTTCCGGCGGTCGGCGATGTAGGCGCGGACGTCGAGGAGGATCCATGGAAGAGGCCGGTGATCGGCCGCATCCCCGCCGTGGCTGCTGGGCGGGCTGAGAGTGAGGTGTTTGGTTCTTGTAAAGCTGTAGGGGAAGGCGGTAGCCATGGCTGCGGCCTCTCCTCCCGCCGACGATCGTCCGGCCGGGCTTAAAGTAGAGCAGCGTGGAGGATCCCGAGTCGGAGTCGGAGAAGATCGAGATCCAAATCGATGTCAGCGATGCAAGTTGGAATCGGAGGGGGAGAAGTAAATCGATTTCATCGATCGGAGGTGCTTAAAATCGGATCTGCTTATCTTGAATTGCTATGGTTGTATTATCGCCGGTAGTGGCTTGTGCTTGACGATAGCCTGATTTCTGGCAAAGGCCACTAGCAATAATCTTCTTTCCTGATCAGATCAGCCTATGGGTTATGCATAATTGGCGATTACATTTCGTTGGCGAAGGAGGTCAAGTCGTGGCGAACGACCACCCTCAAACTCTATTTTCTGGTTTCAAGAAAATGGAAAGCAGTGGGCTTCCCCTGCTATTTCTGAATTGTAGAGTACGAAAAAATATTTCTGAAACAGAATTATAGATGAAATCAATATGTTAACACCACGCTCCAAAGACAACTCTCGATCTGAACGATCAAATACAGTCCAACAAGAGCATAAACATATCCATTCAAGGCAAATCTAAAATGTAGACATGCAGTCATGCACAACAACCAAAATACATAACGGGGCATGCATGATTTTCAAAATTTCAACAGCTCTAATTAGGCCTTGTTTAGTTCCAAAAAATTTCAGAGTTGCTAGAAATATGGCGCCATATGTTACAGTCGATTTTTTTTTAGCCACTTACACCGTAGTTACACCTCATTTACACCCCACTTGCATATGTAATTAGTATGTAATTTTCGAATTTACATATGTAATTTTAGTACTTACATATGTAATTTTGAGACTTACATTGTAAATACACTAAAATTACATATGTAATTTAGGGACTTAAAATGTAAATACATGCCGACTATTTTTCGATGAAAAATATGGCGCCATAAATATAGCTACACTAAAAAATTTTGCCTAAAAACGTCACATCGAATTTTTTGACACATATATGGAGCATTAAATATAGATAAAAAAACTAATTGCACAGTTTGCACGGAAATCACGAGACGAATCTTTTGAGCCTAATTAGTCCATGATTAGCCATAAGTGCTACAATAACCCACATGTGCTAATGACGGATTAATTAGGCTTAATAAATTCGTCTCGCGGTTTCCAGGCGAGTTATGAAATTAGTTTTTTTCCGAAAACCCCTTCCGACATCCGGTCAAACATCCGATGTGACACACAAAAATTTTCATTTCGTGAACTAAACACACCCTTAATTTATGCCCGGGCATGATTTTCAACAGCTCAAATTAATCTATAATAATTTATGCCCGGACATGATTCTCAACAGCTCTAATTAATTTATGCCCATTTAGTTTCACTCAAAAGGCATGGCTATTCCAAGTCCATAGGATTATCGCTGCCTTCAGTTCCGTCTGTAGTTCCCATGTCAGATCCAGCATCCAGTTGCAATGGCTCATGCAAGTCCATAGGATCGCTCCTATTGATTGTTTCACCCAACCGCTTGTGAGGATATTGAATATGAAACTTCAAAGGTCTCTTCAGGCTTCCCTTTACACCTGCACCCAGCAAAACAAAAGTCCCCATGTGTCAGCGCAAATAGCCTACGTATTACTCCCTCCGTTTCTAAATATTTATCGCCGTTAATTTTTTTAAATATGTTTGACCGTTCGTTTTATTAAAAAATTTAAGTAATTACTAATTCTTTTCCTATCATTTGATTCATTGTTAAATATACTTATATGTATACATATAGTTTTACATATTACACGGAAGTTTTTAAAAAGACGAACGGTTAAATATGTGCTAAAAAGTTAACGGTGTCAAATATTTAAAAACAGAGGAGTACATATATAATATATTAATATGCCTAACCCTTCACGCGACGAGGGTGACCAAAATGGAAGTCCTCCTATCAGAGTATCACCAATGTGTTCGAGCAAACAAAAAAGAGTATCAACCAATTTAGTTCACGCATGCAATAGCACCTAAAATGGTCTTTTCTCTTTCTACCTTGTTGGGGCGGAAATCTTGTTTCTATTTTCATTTCCGACCATTTCTTTTAAATGCTCACTTTTTTTATGTGCATGTTATTGATATAGTGTGCACTGACAGGGAAAAATATTTATCTATAAAGACAATCTAGAATCCAATAGGAAAAAGTACGAATTACCCCCTAAACTATCGAGGTTGACCGAATTACACCCCCGAACTTAAAAACCGGACATTCTACGCCCCCCTACTATTGAAACCGGTCAAAATAACATCCTGCTCAACCTCCACCTCATCCTCCCTCTCTTAAAAAAAATTAGTGGGACCCACTGTCAGATCCCCACCCCTCTCTCTCTCCTCCCTCCCCTCACCATCTCACTAGTACGGTGGCTGAAACGAAGGCGGAGGGGGCGACCGGCGGCGGAGACGGAGCTCCTCGGGCGGCGGGCGGCTGAGGCGGAGCTCCTCGGTTTTCGAGTTCGGAGGCGGAGGCAGAGCGGGCGGCCGCCGGTGGAGGCAGAGCTAGCTCCCCGAGCGGCGGGCGGCTGAGGCGGAGGCGGAGCTCGCCCGGGCAGCCGGTGGCGGAGGTGGAAGGCGCCCTCCCATCCTCTATGTTGATGCTGTTAGCGTTGACGGGAGCGGCTGGGAGAGCGGCAGCGGGCGCGGCTCCGGCCGGCAGCGGGCGAGTCGGGGAGGGGAACGGTCGGCGGCGAGCGGCGGCGGGCGCGGATGGGAGGCAGAGAGAAAAACGGAGATGTGGCACAAGGGAGAGGAGAGGCCATCGGCAGCCAGGCAGAGCGGTGGCGGTCGTGGTGAAGCGGCGGCCTAGCGGCGATGGAGACCGGTGCTGGCGCGGTCAGTGGTGGCCTCCTGACGATGGGATCGGCGGAGGAAATCGAGGCGGTGAAGCAGCATCCATCCTCTGGCGACGGCGTAGCAGGGGGGAGCGAAGTCTGGACCTCGGCGTCGGCGGTGGTGGAGACGGGGCCACTCCGACGGAACTCGGGCGGCGGGGGTCCTTGGCCGAAGTGAAGGAGTCTGTCGCTTTACCCGCCTGCCCTGGAGGGTGTCGCCGCCGCCGGTTGTCATCTCTTTTCTCCTCTCTCTCTCTCTCTCTCTCTCTCTCTCTCTCTCTCTCTCTCCTCTCCCCTCCCCTCCCCTCCTCTCTCGCTCTCTCTCCAGCGGTTGGATGGGAGCAACGGCGACGACGACCGACTGAAGGAGGCGGGCTTCAAGATGAGTGCGGCGGCGCAGGTGCCTGGCGGCGGCGGTGCGGGTCCCTGGAGCCTGGAGGCGGCACAGGCATCTCTGCGGCCAGGAGACGAAGGAAGAGGGAGCAGCTTACATGCGGGGCCAACTAGCTTCTTAAGAGAGGGAGGATGAGGTGGAGGCTGACATGTGGGACCGCTCCGGATTGAGACACGGGGTATTTATCCGGTTTCAATAGTTGGGGGTGTAGAATATCTGGTCTTCGATTTTGTAGGTGTATTTCGGTCGACCTTGATAGTTAGAGAGGTAATTCGTACTTTTTTCAATCCAATATGCCGCAGTTGTATTTGAGTGGGTTTGTGTCCCACATGACTTGCATTAATTCTCATGAAATTTACAACTTTTCTGGAACTGTACTCTATAACTTGTTTGGAAGCTCACCGACGGCTTCCATGATTAGATGGGTAATAAAGAGTTTGGCGAGGTTCACACTAATTACGGCCTCAACTTGTCTAGCTAGCACTAAAGCAGCAGCCACACACAATATATCAGCTATCACAACGGTCAACGGGAGTGGATTTTGATCCTTGAGAGGATATCCCCTCATTATTTGCATATTAATCAAATTGTTTTAAAAAAATTAAAAAAAATTGAGAAGATGTATTAACATGTGATATATCACTCCACAAACATACAAGTTCAAATTCAGCTTCTACATCTCGCAACGAAAAAAATAAATTTGTCTGTGAATATACATTAACTAGTTGTATAGTTTAATTTATTTTTTTTCCTTGCGAGATGTAAAAATTGAATTTTAACTTGAATGTTTGTGGCGTGATATATCACACGTTAATACATCTTCTCAAATTTTTTCACATTTTTTAATAACCATTTGAGTAACATGCAAACGACAAAGATATTGATATCCCCTCGAGGGATCAAAATAGTTTCCCCTATCACTACTTTGAATTAGGTTTACTATCATATTCATCACAAGGTTTCCCCAAAAGAAAAGGCAAAAGTAGAAAAAAAAAACAAGGCTAGGAATTAATCAATCACCTGCAGCTGCTGTAGTGAAATACTGGGAGATGGTAGAGTGCGTGTAGGCATAATCAAAATCGTTTACAATTCTTTCGGCGTCATACATAGATACCTCTTGTAGCCTCTTGTTTGCCATGTCAACGGTGAGCACCAGCGCCTTCTCATCGGAGACGTCAACCTTACCCATGATGTAAACAATGTGAGCGTCCACCAAGCTGAGTGTTGGATGAGCTAACTGGAGCGTCTCCGTTGTTGGGCAACCATCATCCAGCTTGGGCAGGAGGCAGGCGTTCCGAGTGCTGTCGTCAATCGAGACGTCACTGGACTTGATCTTCAAGTCCTCACGCCACTCATCATCCAAACAGGTGACTGGCTTGCTCCATGTGGTCAGATCCCAAGCGCAGCAATCGTCGTCATCATCATCGTCTGAATCATCATCTGAATCGAGGTAAAGGCACAGCCTGACAACGGTGAGACGGCCATTGACGATAGCAATGTCACGGGAAATGGATGAAGTGTAGGTGTTGTGGATGTTGAAGATCTCGGATGGCATCGGCATGTAGCTGCTTCCCCCAGGTGTGCTGCTGTTGTCGAGCACGTTGCAGATGACCATGCCCCGCCAGGGATCAACGAAGGCCACTAGTGGTTGTTCATCATCCAGGATAAGTACCTTCTCTGTTAAATGGAGCACGATATCTTTGTCTGGCGCATTGCGGAGTTGGTCAAGAAGAAGGATGTTGTTGCTCCATTTGCAGTCCATGGAATCGTCTTCGTCGTAGAGGCAGAGCTTGAAGTGGCCAATATCGAAGCGGTGATCCCGATCGAGCGAGCTAACATAGAAGTGACCGCTGTTGTTGTCATCATCATCAGCGCCGGCGGCATGGCGGCGGTCAGGGAGGATGACAACGTTGTCGATACGACGAAGGTAGTCGTATGGGTTGTAGGGGCTGTAGGGGTTGTGGATGAGCTTGAGAGATGGGCGAGAGCTGGCATGGTAGATGAGATCGTAGATTTGATCGCTATGGACGCGGAGGAAGACGAGGTTGTCGTTGACGAACCCGACGGCGGGCTCCTTGGCGAAGAACACGGCGGGGTCGGTGGCAGGGGACCAGGCGCAGATGTAGGAGACGAGCGGCGGCGGCGCGATGCAGAATGTGATCTGGATTTTGCGGCCGTTGCTGAAGACGATGGTGGCGGTGGTGGAGTTCCGGCGGTCGGCGATGTAGGCGCGGACGTCGAGGAGGATCCATGGAAGGGGCCCGTGATCGGCCGCATCCCCACCGTGGCTGCTGGGCGGGCAGAGAGTGAGGTGTTTGGTTCTTGTAAAGCTGTAGGGGAAGGCGGTAGCCATGGCTGCGGCCTCTCCTCCCGCCGGCGATCGTCCGGCCGGGCTTAAAGTAGAGCAGCGTGGAGTATTCGGAGTCGGAGAAGATCGAGATCCGAATCGATGTCAGCAATGCAAGTTGGAGTCGGAGGGGAGAAGTAAATCGGATCGGCGGAAGATGGTTTGGATAGAATCGGATTGCCGGTGGCCGATCGACGCGCCCTCGCTTCGACGACGAACTCGTCCTGATCCAGCGCCGGCAACGGAGCACCCCCCACCACACACACACAAACTTCGCGTACGGACATTTTTGTGATTTTGCGCTCTGGTTCATGCGGTTTGTTTGCTGTGAAAGATTCGCAGGAAGTTGAGGCTAAGGAGATGGAATTGGTGAAGAAATTCTTGGAGGAGAGGGAGGTTGATGACGAACGAGCCGAGTTCTTGAAAGCAGGTGAGGTCTCGTCAGTTCGACACAAGATTTCTCCAAAAGAAAAGCAATAAGTAGGAAAAAAAAACAGGCCAGGGATTAATCAATCACCTGCAGATGTAGTGAAATATTGGGAGATGGTATACTGTTTGTAGCTGCAACCGTTATCATCGTAGACGATCCTTTCAGCGTCACGCAGAGATACCCCTTGCAGCCTCTTGTTGGCCATGTCAACAGTGAGCACCACCGCCTTCTCGCCGGAGAGATTGACCTTGCCCATGATGTAAACGACATGCGAATCCATCAAGCTGAGCATAGGACGAGCTATCCGCAGCTTATCCATGGCAGGGAGACCGTTCAGCTTCGGCAGGAGCTCGACGTTGTTGCAGGTGCCATCGTTGACATTGCAGATGACCATGCCTCGCCACAGATCAACGAAGGCCACTACCTGTTCATCGTGCAGAGTAATCACCTTCTCCGTGTAATGGAAAACGGTGTCTTTGTCCTGCGGATTGCGCAGCTGGTCGAGACGAAGGGTCTCCTGGCTCCATTCGCCATCGATGGAGTCGTAGAGGCAGAGCTTGAAGTGGCCACGTTGTCCAGGTAACCCATACCATAGCTCCTGATCAAGACTGCAGACATAGAAGCCGGTGGAGTCGTCGTCGTGGTCGTCACCGGCACCGGCACGGCGGCGGGAGAGGATGGCAATGCTGCCGAGCTCACTAAGGTAATGACAGCGATGGAAGGGGCGGTCGGGGTGCCGGACAAGCGTGAGCGAAGGGCGGCGGCGGCGGCTGTCACCACCGCCGCCGGCGTGGTAGACCAGGTGGTAGACTTGATCGCTGTGGACTCGGAGGAAGACGAGGTCGGCGTTGACGCAGGCGACGACGGGTTCCTTGGCGAAGACGAGGGCGGGGTCGGCGTTGGGGGACCAGGCGCAGACGTAGGAGACGAGCGGCGGCGGCGCGGCGCAGATGGTGATCTGGAGCTTGCGGCCGCTGGTGAGAGAGGTGGTGGCGGTGGTGGCGTTCTGGCGGTCGGCGATGTAGGCGCGGACGTCGAGGACGATCCATGGGTGAGCGTCGGGAGGGTGGCCGTGGGTGGGTGGACGCTCGGTGAGATGCTTGGTTTTAGTCCAACGGTAGGGGAAGACGGTAGCCATGGCCGGCGATCTGCACACAAGTTTATTCGTTTTAGATAGAAAAACTATCTATGTGTGAAGATGAATAGAAGGTATGATACTAGAGTCAGGTTTCCGATTATGAAAGAGAAAAAAAAATAAAGATGTAGCCAAACTAAATCCTATTTGGACCCTAAGTCGGAGCCCGTACGTCTAGTTCATGCGGTTTGTGAATCCTATCTATCTTCTGAGAATGAAATTGTTTAGCCAGACATTACTACAGTATGTCAGTATATCTGTCTATCTAGCTGTTATCAATACATGCATGCATGCGTATAGGTTTTGCATGATGCAAAAATCATAGGAGGACTCCTATTTTCATCAATCAAATAATGTGTGAGATTAAAATTGCTTCAACACATTAGAACGCACATGCATTTTCTCTAATATTTTCAACACAAAAAACTATTAATATATATTTAATGCTAGATTTAGTTAAACTAATTTGGTGCTATAAATATTGCTAAATTTTTCTATAAATTTGATCAAACTTCTAGTAAGTTTGACTTAAGAAATCAAAGCGACTTATAATTAAAAAACGGAGGGACGTTTCATATTATAAGTCGTTTTGATTTTATAGAGAAATATAGTAATATTTTCAACACAAAGCAAACATATAATCAAAATATTTTCGATGTTATATTTAATGAAACTAATTTAATTTATATATTCATAGTTTTATAATGTCTTATCTGATAGTACTATATATATTGCTATATTCATGGGATGAAAGCAGTATCCAGCAAATGGTTTTCAGCATGGTTTTCAGCTTTGTGGCTCAACGCTCTTATCAAAAGTTAAAAACTGGTATTATTCCGTTCAAGAAAATCACTGAACTCACTCACAGTTATCTGATTACGTTGGCATTTCTTTGTGGAATACATACAATCGTGAATGCTGGACGATTGGATTGCAGTTTCTTGCCTACGCATATATCTGTTCAACAATCGATCTTCGTGTTTTGAATTGATGAATTGTTGTATCTTCGTCTCCCTTATTTTTTTTACTTCATCTATTTTATATTATAAGTCGTTTGACTTTTTTCTAACTAAATTTCTTTCATTTTATCAAGTTTATAGAAAAATATAATAGTGTTTTTAATAAAAAAACAAACACATTTAATGTTAGGTTTAATAAAATTAATTTGATATTTTAGATATTGCTAAATTTTTTTTAAAACTCGATCAAGCTTAATAAAATTTAAATAGGGAAAAATATGGAACAGAGGGATCACTTGCTCTTTAATTTACATGATAGTATCGGATACTCCGGTAAACGTGATGTCTCCCCGACCAACCATTGGATCAGTCGTTAAACGGCTGAGATCAACATGTTAGGCGAAGAAGCTTCTTGACCTCGTGGCGAACGGGCCCACTTGCAGCTGCAGATTCAACTCAACGGCTAGTTCCTCCTCCCTTCTCCCCAACCGTTGGGCCGTAGCCCAACAAAACCCGTTCCCCTTCACTCTCTCACCACCATCTCCCTCTCTCTCTCTCTCACGCTCCCCTCCTCGCCTCGCCTGAGCAGCCACCGGAGCAGCAGCAGCAGCAGCTCGCCGCCGACGAGTCGCCGACGACGATGGGGTACACGTACACGCCGACGTACTACTCGGGCCTGCACGACACCATCGCGTCGCTGTGCAAGTCCATCCTCCCCTTCGGCGGCTTCAGGTCCGGCCGCCGCCTCACCGCCGACCAGGCCGCGGCGAGGCGCCACGCCGACGCGCTCAAGTGGCAGCAGGAATCGTTCCACCGCATCCTCCACCTCTCCGCGCTCCACCGCGAGGGCATCGTCCCGCCCTCCGACGTCGACGCCTTCCGCGCCGACATGCTCGCCACCCTCGCCGCCGCCCCGCCCCCGCCCGCCCACCCCGACCAGCCCGCCATCCTCCGCGACAAGCTCCTCTTCCTCCAGGTACTACCCACCCGCATCGCCTTCTTCTTCTTCTTCTTCTACCTCCCTCCCTCCAATCCGAGCGAGCAATTGATCGAACGCTTCTCCCTTCTCCTTTTGCAGGAGCTCTTGTACGCCAAGTGCATCTCGGCGGCGGAGTACAACTCCACCAAGAGCCCACTCGTGCAGCGCCTCGCGGCGTTCGGTGTCGTGGTCGACTGCCCCGACGCGGACGTCGGCGATGGCGGCGCGGCTTCGGCGGCGGCACCAGCCTCGTCGTCTTCCATGGAGGAGTGGTCGGAGATCGACCTCCGGGACCCGCCGCCCGCCGCGGCGGCCTCCGACAAGCCGAAGCACAAGGCCTTCGTCCCGCCATGGAAGAGCAGAGGCAAGAAGGAGCTGGACGCATCGAGGCCACCGTTAGCCCCCGTCGACCAGAACAACAGCAAGAACGCCCCATCCGTCCTCATGGCCGAGAGCTCGCCGTCGGAAGCCATGCCCACCGCCAAGACCGACAAGGGGAAGAGGAGGCACCTGACGGCGATGTTCCACAACGGCGGCAATGGCAGCGAGAACAAGGAGCCCCCGGCGGCGTCCATGGAAGGCACAGATCAGGAGAAGGATGCGTCAAAGAGCAAGAAGAAGAGTTCGTGGGGGTTCGATGGCCTCAAGAAGTGGAAGAAGGCAAGCAACGATGAGGCGACGGCCGGCGGTGAGCGGCCGGAGCACGCTGCGCCGCGGTCTTCGTACAGTGAGTGCCGGCTTGAGGCGAGCCCGGCTGTTGCCAAGGATGCAAAGAGAGCCAAGAAGAAGCTGAATACGGCCACCGGCGACGATGATTCTGCTTCCGATTTAGCGAATGATAAGGTATTGCAAAGTGGTTGATCTCTCCATCGTGTTTAGTTTCAGTAAACAGATTGTGCAGGTGTCCATTGATTGGTACTTGGTAGTTTCAGAATTACTGGACTGAACTGAGCTTTTTGTATCTGAACTTACTGAAGGTTTTGGTGGAGAACACAAAGAAAGAGCTTTCAAGGATTCAGGCTGAGTTGTCATCCACCAACCGAAACTTGAACTTTTCGTAAGTTTTAATCTGTCTGTTTTGCCAATGAATTTTTTGATCAATTACTGTTGTTTGAAGTGTGTAAAATGTATGTCCTGGCATCATTGTAGGGATCAACAAATTGAGGCCATCTCAACAAGGCTTCCAGTGGACAAATCTGACCTCAAGACCTTCTTCCCAAAGTACTGAAAACTTCACAATTCCGTCATCATTCAGATTTAACAGACATGGTTCAGAAATTCTGAGATGATAGTATCTGTTTTTGCAGGGCATGGTGCGATGAACACGGAGACAACGTGATCAACGTGGCGAAGAAAGAGTTCAAGGAGCACGTCGAAGAGATGGAGAAGCAGAGGGACATCACCGGCGGCGGTGATGGCTGGGTTGCATTCGGAGACAGCCATGACGAAAATTTCAACCCGAGAGCATTCTCTCAGCATCAGGCTGCAGTGAAGGGTAACGTCCATGACAGTCTTAGCAGCAGTCAACATTTCACAAACCCTTTCTATGACGAGAAGAATCCTTTCTTGACTCCAAGCTACGATTGATACTGCGAGTGAATGTAATTGGTCTTTTGTGTTGGAAATTTCTGTGATAGTTTTACCTCCAAGTTACTGATGTTGTACTTTAAGGTTCAATTGTTATATTGGACCTAGGTTGTGTATGAATTTTCTATGAATTATGAGCTTGTTCCATGAGCACAATTCCCAGTACCTACGACAACAATGTCCCGGGAAATCAACGAGTTACGGGTTCTATCAAGGTCAGTGGCCTTCTCCAGCAGCGGCAAGTAGCTTCCAATTTTGCTGCCGAGCACGGGAGAGGAAGTCTAAATTAATTCTAAATCCATTCTAAATTTAAGTTTGGATGTCTAAATTATCAGTGCCAGATTAAGTCCCTACAGTTTATTCATATATACAGTGCGCACATTACAATGTTTAAACAGCACTACAAACATACGACCGAAGTACACTATCTTAGTTCAGATATCTCCTGCAGCCTCTCGATCTACAGAAGCAGGGGATTCTTTGCCCTTCATCTTCTCGGTTGAAGTGATAATCGTAGGTAATTTCCTCCCCCGGATTTATGTGGCGTTCCGCGAAGAACACTACCTGGACAATGATAAAAACACATTAGAATAGAAACAGATAAATTTGCCAGGAAAGAAAGAGGGCTGGGGCGAATATTTTGAAACGACAACATCGAAATAAAGAAAAGGGGTACCTTCTTCTCGTTCCTTACTGAGATTATTTTTGCGACACAGTTTGGCTGATCCAGCAAAGATTGGAAGAAAACAAAACATGCATTAGAAACATTCAGTTTTAGATGGACGAAAAAAGACACAGATGAGCATATTATTTGTTACTTGGCAAGAGTGGTTGATGAATCTTGCGATCCCACCCTTGCGGGTGGCATCGATGATATGTTCCTTTCCAATCTTGAAGAAGTAACAAGCACTCTTATATTGCTGCCGTTTCCCGGACTGGTATTCAATCTCTCTTTTGTCAGCAACGCATTGCCCAACAATTTCACCAACATACTGTACAACCTGAAATATTTTCATGCAGAAGTTAACAATTTCTTCATTTGCTAAATTCTTGTGTCAGATTATCGACTAAGGAAAGAATAACTGATGAATTACCATAGAGCCACGTGGAATAAACTCCGATGTGTAGAGACCAAGCCCATGAATGCTAGATTTGTACACTACCAAATGCTTCCATCCCTTTAACTGCTTGTAGTGGACATATTCCTTCTAAAAATGAGAATGAAGACATGTAAACAGCTCATCCAGTATGTACATGCAAACTTTGATACCCCGCTAAAGCAGAGTACATTACAATGTACTATATTGAAGATAACCAACTGCATTGCAGTGAAGGATTAGAAGTTACCTGTCCTCTCATGCAAGATTTCGATCCATTTATGCGTATCCAAGCATTGATCTGTTCTTGGGAAACACTGCACTCACCAAACTTCTCTTCTGGTTTCCTGCTACGATTAGCACCAAATGAGTCTCCCTTTCGGCCTCTAAAAACCTGTTTCAGAAGAATGACAAAGGAAGTTGTCACTTGTTAGGATTCTAATTTTTCAAGCAGTACAAAGGTAAAACAAATATATTACCTCAGTACGTGCACATGTCCAGTCATTGCTCCTCAAGCATTCCTTCTTAGGATTAACATGATTAGGATCAAGCATAGCATGATCCAGGCATCTCCCATAAAAACCAACATTTTCATTATGCTCGCCTTCTGGCTCACTTTGCAACAAACCCTATTGTGATATCATGAGCAACATTCAGATTTACAGTGTTGAGATAACAATAAGTTTTAACCAAGATTGCAGAATATTTCTTATGAGCATACAGTAAATCAATGTGATAATATATAGGTCAAATAGCTTATTATGAGTGGATATCATACCCTCTGATGAGCACACCAAGGATGAAAGAGAACTGAGCAATTAACATCACGACACCCCATAAATGAGCCCCCAGTTCTGTTACACATTGAGCATTCCTGACAACAAAAACATTAGCAATAATGAAGATTAAGTTCATTAGGACTAAATAATCGGGTGCAGGATGAAAGGAAACCCATGGCCAATGCCAGCACTTGGCATTGGATGCACTTTCAATTTACAGGAAACATATTTTCAATGAAGTTCAAAAGAATATGCATGTAGGGAACTCACGGTATTTCTTTTGGCAGGTGAAGCCCCTGATATATCAAAAGCACTCATTGTGATTGTATTTGGGCATTTTGTACCAGGTGTCCACAACCCACAGACCACATGAACCCACTGCCTTGTTCGTGGACCAAGTAGACTGGAATTGCGATTAGAGGTCCACGACTTGCTGATAATGTCCCCACGTGCACTACCTATTGAAGCTTCTTTTATACCAAAAGAAGATATAGCATTGAAGCTTCTTGATCTGTGTCCATTAAATGAATCATGCCTGACATATTCCCCATGTAACTTGCTTGTACACTCACTGTTCACATTTCCTGATGAATAAACATATTTATCTGATCTTTTTGCAGTTGCAATACCCCTCAGCAAGCTTTTGAGAATATTCTGGGCTTTCAATGCCCTTGTCATAGCTCCACCTCCATAACCACACAGAACACAGACCTGGCAAAGGAAAACGTAAAGAGATACCGATATACAATTAATCACTACTAAATGTATCTAACAATGAGGATGTTAGTGTTAGTAAGATTAATTTTGACTGAAGTATTTTCCATGCTAGTGCAGCGTCCATACATCTATACCAGCAGTGTATCCCTAAATGGTTGTATCACCTTGATGTAATTATCTTGATTTCAATAAAAGCTTCATTCTACAAATAGCCCTAAAAGAATCAGTGAAAAATTCTATAGTGCTTGCACACAGTAATCTGCAAGCACAAAGATGGCTGTTCTGGCCTACATGGCTACATCATGCCCTATTAAATGCCTTAAATGAAACTACTCTGAAATTGAATTTTCTTACTGTGTCCTGGGTATTGATCTTGCAGGGCTTACAGAACCATTGTCCTCTTGGAACTTTTAGAACACCATAGCAAGCTTGGTGCACCTACAGAAAAAAAAAATGCAAGGCTCTATGTGAATAGACTCCAGTACTAGGTTCTGGTAAGGGAATATGACAAACCTTGATAAAGCACTTGCTGCACTCTATCAACTGATTGGAAGGCTCCAGGTTTGAGATACCACAAACACAACATGAAGCATCTAAACTAGGCCTTTGTATATATCTGCATAAGGTATTATGCAGAACTTTGTCAGATCAGTCTGTAAAAGCAAGATAAATTAATAAAAACGAAATATTTTCTATGGAACATATCCTTCAAAGGAAATCTGTAGAATGCACCTGGAGTTACAACCTTTCAAATTTTGTTACACAGGCTTGAACCGCAGCGTGTTTATCGCCACAAGGACTGCATGCTGATTCATTTGTAAATTCTTCACACCTCTCCATCCTATTAAGAGATATGCATGCTCTTTGATTCTTACTTCCTGCATATGGTTGGTAGATCGTGTTGGTAAAACTTCTTTAGCATCTCATGTGGAAATTAAGCAAATGAGAAGTTTGCTATGCATGCGATGCAGTTTTTCAGTAAAGATGACAACTAATGACCATGTTACTAGTTAATCTGTAATGTCACACAGTGCATCATTTTGACAAAAATGGAATCAAATTTTCCAATAAATAACCAAAAAAATCTAACCAAATATGTTATGGCTGTCCTTGTCCTAGACTCCTACCTCTACTTCTTGATGCTGACAGCTGACTTGTCCCCATATCTGCAAGGCTAAGAGGCTCATCTTCTTCAAGTACTGAAAAAGAAAGATTCTTTTGTCAATTCCATTTTTCTAAAAGGAACACTGTAAGTTACTTAGCTATATGTTGATACTATCTGTAATGCAGTTTTCAGAATTATACCACAGCAGGGACTTTGGCAGTCAGTCTTGACGTGTGGCCTCGAGACATTAGATGAATACCTATTCTTTTTGGGAGACCACAGTTCATCTTGTGGACTGAAACTTCTGTCACCAGAGGAAGATTTATCTGCAGAACCATCTGAACTCTTTTCCTCAGAAAAATGGATATTTTCTGTCTTACTGAGGGGTTTGATAGCATGACATCTCTTAGCCTTTTTAAGAATCAGATTGAGTGGAACAATTTTGGGAGATTTCCGATTATCATTAGTTATTCCTGTAGCAATCAAACTAGAATCAATACTGGCACTCCCACTACAGGCATCTTCACTGTTAGTTTCATTTACAATGCAATTCAGAGACACATATTTTGGCAGTTTGCGGACAAGCAATCGACTCCCTTGCTGTTGGCATTTTGTTCTATCCAAAGTGGTCATATTATCTTCTTGCTTTTTTCTATCAGAGGAATTTGATTCTCCAACATAAATGCCCTCATCATCTGACCGTTCATTGTCAACATTGAGAACTTTGCAGTTGCTGTGAAGCCGTTTCACATGTTTATTCAGATGCGTGGGAGGATGTTTCCTCTTGGTTTTTGATACTCTGCGTGAAAATGGACCAGCCTTATGCTGCGGTTGAGAATCCCCTTCCCGGGATGACAGATCAATTTTCCTAGTACAATCATCGGATTCTGATTTGTTTGCACAGCACCTCAATGTTCGTGTTTTCTTTGACATTTCAGAACATTGTCCCTCATTCTCATGTTCTTTCCGTGTACTTCCCTCAGAAATTTGATTATTTTTGTGCTTCACTAAAGATGGCTCCAGGTGAAATCTAGAAAAACTATTTTGGGCTTCTTCACATCCTGTACTAATAGGCAAATAGCTGGATGAGGAACATTTCTCAATTCGTGACCCTTCATCAAACACAAGATTTTTGTGTTCAAGACCATACTTGTTCAATTCAGGTGATGCAGAAAACTTGGTCACAACATCGCTGGAGAATCCAGAAGAGAAACCGGATTTTAGTTCTTTAAATATTCCAGAATCTCTACAAGCACTCGCTTTCTCTTTTACAGTTTCATAGGGCCAATGGCCACCTACAGCCGATGCTTCTGTTACATTCTTCAGCTGCTGTAATGTAGGAACACAAGGTCGGTTCAATACTTCAGTAGAGACCTCATTCTGGAAAGAAGCTTTAGAGTCGCTTTTTCTAGCAATTATCTCGCTTGAGCACTGGCATATTAATTTTTCACTCTCCCCTAGCGTGCAACATCTGGCAGCAGCTTGCATGCCATCATCCTTGCTCTTTTGTACTGTATGATCAGTTTGATCGATTCTAGCAACACAGTGCTTTGTAAATCCATAACCTGCCAAACATTTTGGGGCTAAAGAGCAGCAGCATTTTCCATCCCGGTAAGGACTACATTCTGTATTATTAGGTGCATCAAGCAGAGTGTTCTTAGTCAAGCTGTTGGCTGTGTGTCCCATAGAACTGCAATAAGTAAATAAAAGAATATGAAAGGGAGCACAGCGATAGCTTCAAGAGCACATTTTGCATGATAGCGCATGTATGCTATCATTGACATGTGTATATAGATATAGCATCAAACAAACGTCTAAGCTCATTTCCTTGAAAACTAAGTGTAACCTTCAGCAAAAATTGATGTCATCAATTTATCTTGTAATGATGTGAAACAGCACACATAAGCATAATGTCAAAATGGAAACAACGAAGAAAGGCTCATCTATACAACCTGTTTGACAGGCCGCCTGCCCATTTTCCAGTACTCAAATCAATTAAAAGGCTGGTCTTAAGAGCATTGCTAAGAACAGGAAATAGCAAGTGCTTTCAGGCCAAATTAGCATTATACATACACTAGGCAGTAGCTATCATCTATTAGAACCAATAGGATCAGAATCAAGGCTAGAATTTGAATATGTGAAGAGTAAATCTTGGTAGCAGTGATGGAACTGAAATACTCCCTCCGTTTCACAATGTAAGTCATTCTAGCATTTTCCCCATTCATATTGATGCTAATGAATCTAGACATATATATCTATCTAGATTCATTAGCATCAATATGAATGTGGGAAATACTAGAATGACTTACATTGTAAAACGGAGGAAGTAGTCATTAACAGGAATATGTGAAATTCAAGATAAGAAAAAGATTGAGTAAGGGCCTGTTCACTTTGATGCCAAAAAAAACCTTACCAATTTTTGGCATTACCAAAATTTTGGTATAGTTGCCAAAATTTTGGCAGGATTTCTTATATAGTTACCAAAATTTGGCAGCAAACTAAATGTAGTCACTTTTTTGGCAACTTTACCAAAATTTGGTAAGGTTGAAAATGGCATCAAAGTGAATAGGCCCTAAATCAAAATACCTTCTGTAGTACCCATCAATGGGACATGCATGGCAACAGGACTGCAACATAAGCTCTCTAGAACATAATGAGGATCTTGGTATGAAAGTAGAGCGGGTGCGCACTTCATCTAGCCCTGAAATATGAGAAAGTGTGCCACTGAATTAAAACAAGACAACATTCAAGAAAATAATCAGAAATAAGAAGTGATGTCTATCATATCACTTGCACTGTGAAGAAACCAACCTTCAACAATAGACCTATGGGCTGGAACTGGAGTGCCATCATTACAGAAATGAGATCGGCAGAAATTGCCAGCTCTAAAACCAAGTTTGGAAGAATCTTCTTGAGCTTTGCAACAGCATCTATGCATTGATTTTCCTATTGGCGATTGATCATTTTGGCCAAAGCTAGGTAGAAACTCATTAGCTGTAGAACAAAAGGCTCTTCCACACTGATAATTGGTAGCTCTCAAACTTTTATGTGTGCACAAGTCATCAGCACATTCAAAAGAAATATATCTCCTGGCCTGCACATAATGCTTGAAGAATCAAAAGACATTTTGGTGGTTGGCAGTGGTGACAGTGGTTACTTGTGCTATGAGAAAGTGTAAGATCAACTTACCGTTCTATCATAAAAACAGGGAGCCCCAGTCTCAGAATGTGCAAGATGGGATTTGTCAGCAACATGATTACAACACCTGCAATTCACTGGAGAAGAAACTTCTGCGCAAATTTTGGAGATTCCGGCGTTAGGTTGACTAGGCAGCAAATGTGGCAGGCAGTCCCCATTTATTAAAGGCTCTTGACTATTTGCATGAAGTACATCTTGATGAACATATCCCTTGGAAGCCACTGGAACTGGAAGAGACCTGCTATCTGATATCCTTTTCGTGTGAATAATGGCAGGTGCCAACTTCAACTGATTATCATTTGCCCTTGTCTCAACTTGTGTACTTGCAGTTTTTAAACGATCGGAACTATATGCAACATCTGGAGCCTTAAGAAGGTAATGCTCATTACTGTTGAGAACATCATCAATGGACTCAGATGTACTATTTCTCTCAAGATGTGAAAGAAATAATGAAATAAATGAATTCTTTGCTGCATCATCTGTAATCTCATTGAGTTCAGAATGGCTGGTTCCATTAGAAACATCAAGTGATCGTTTCCTATTACCTGTACCAAATGATGGCTCAATGTTTTCTATAGTTTTGTTGGCTTTGGTAGTTTGCTTCGGATAAGCATCTGCACCAAGTGATTCTGGCATTATATGAACATTACAGGGGAAATGCTCTCATTTTACACTAAAAAAAAGAACTAAGCAAAATTGTGTTTCTTCTATGGTGTTAATGTGTTATAAAATCATACCAGAACTATGTTGTTGTTCACATTCATTGTGCTAGTACTAGCAGCTTCTTATGGTGTTTTTGTCGTTTTGTGTATTCAGTCAGCACCTAGCATAACAATTAACAAGCTCTTGCATATCTAGCGAGAAAGCAAACAGAACTACACATGTGTGGATGTGCCATATTAATAGTTAATACAAGTTAAATTCTACCCAAATGATAATGTGGATAACAAAACAATTACATTTGCAGCTAATAACAGGAAAGCTCACTTGGAGTTGTGAATTGCAGGTGGTGCTGAGGTTTCTGAAATTCGATTATTGTCGACTGCACCGATGGAAATAGGGTAGCCATAGATTGATGATAAGATGATTGCCCCAGCTTCAGTTCGGTGTTTGATGCTCTACCTGAACCATCTTGAATTATTTTGTGAGGTACATCAGGCATGCATGCCCTACTGTCATTGCTCAAAACTCTTGTAGAACTAGGACCAGGACTACGAGACAAGTTATTTAAGTTTTTCTCCAGAAAGTTTGCATAATCATGTGCCAAATGATTTCTACTGTAAGTTATTCCCATGTTTGCTGTTGAATATGTTCGTTCACTTGGCCTGCTAATAGAGTTCATGTTCATGTCATGGATCATATGATTTGCTAAGTTTATTTTCGAACTCTGCTGTATAGCTGGATTCTTTGAGAAAGCTTCATGTAAACCGACACTCTTTCTATAAAATGTTTCATCTGGCTTATTCACTAGCTTCTCAACAGAAGTGAATCGTCCAACCTCATTGTGGATATCACTGGAATAAACTGGATTGTTTATATGTCCAGTGCTTTTTCCATGTCCACTGAATAGCCCTGTTTTTTCCATGTTATTGTTCGTTGTAAGGAGACTTTTAGTCCAGTATTCTTCTGAAGAATATCTCATATATGCCCATTCTGGCCAGTCCCACTTAGTGTCAGAAATGGATGCTCCAACCTAGATGTAAACAAGAAGGAAAAAAATTGATATAGAGTGGCTGTTATATGATTGGGACAGGCTGGAAGTGTATGTGTGAAGAAAATGTATTTCAATAAGCTTTCTGTTGTTCATTCACAAAATATGTAAAATACTTACAAGATGCAACACAATACAAATACACAGTTGTATTGCATGACATGTACTAGTTGTGACTTGTGACTTGTGAGTTACCAATCTCTGATGGAAACTATCTCTGTATCCTTAAGGCTATAATACAGGAGTTTACAATGCCTCATTTGTAGACTTAAACAAAGAAAAACTTAAAAATTTATATATGTACCTGTTACCACAGACTACATTTAATGATATTTTCCAGAATATAATGCAGAAAATACTACTAAAGCATTCTTCTTCTTCTTCTTTTTTCTGCTGCTAATACAGCCTCCAGATGATATGTGACACAGTAAAGGACAACCAGAAATAAACTTATGTAGAACTTAGCCTGGGTTTTTACATGTGTTAAAAAAAGAGTTACTTTATTTCTATCTGGTAATATGCAACCAATGCTTGGCTGTGCCTACGGGTAGAGGCCAGAGATGTAATCCATTTCCATTATGTAAAATAAAAATGCAACCAATGCCAACTTTCACTTTGTGACTCATATCAAACTGGCTGCTGGCACAACTATTATTGTACTAGGTGCCTACCTTTTAGAGTTAAACAAGCAAATCCAGTATGTGATTTTTACCAAATACTTACCCTTAAACTACATATCTTGGACCAACTAAAAGTTAACAGATTAACCGAAACAAGATAAAATGCTCACCCCCATGCAGTACTTGAGCCATTGTACAATAGTCATGCCATTATCCATAATGACAATTTCACCAGCTTTTTCTGCGGGTCCTCCTGAATGCTACAAAATGTGTATATACATACCTTTTATCAGTAAGAACATCTGTAGTAGTGCCTAAATGGGGAATCAGCGTAACAATCATAAATTTGTATAGTACCTCACAGAACTTAGCCACAGACATTCTCAGCCGGTGACAAAAGCAACGAACTCCAAAAATCCCAGCTTCACCGACAAAGAATTCACCACCTGTTCATATCCCAAAAGCACATCAGAAGGCTTTAGTAAAAAAAGTAATATATGATCATAATGGTTAAAAGCAGCAGGTGGGAACACTTTTACCATAAAAAATATCGAATTGTTCTAATAATAATTAACAATAACTGTGAATAAGAGCTCCATCACTATTAAAATCTCTACCAAATTAAGCAACAGAACCCATATTATGAAGCTATAACACAGAGCAGTAATTTGAGGACTACATGCTGTACAACAGTACAAGCAAGAGGCAGAAAACTTTTATTTCCATGGGTGTAGAACTTTTGATTGCACACCACACATCGTACATAGTTCAATGGCTGGGTTCTCTATTTAGGCCATTGCAGACACAGGTTTCTGAAGGGGTAAAAATGCTTACTGTAACTAGCCATTCAATGACTACCTCCCTCATGAGACCATGACAGAGGGTAGTCGATCTAGGTTGCAGATATTGTTGCAAGTTGAACCCACCAACATTCAGACAGGAGACGCATATCTGATCCCCTAGAAGCGCAGGATGATGGCGAGGGGTTGATTGGGATGGCAATTTCTGCACTGCGCATGTGCTCGAGTCCTGAAACTGGATGGCGCCTTGGGATATCCCTGCATGTCCAAAGAAGCACTAACAGTAAAAGACTGCAGCAGGAAGACAGAAATCATGTCACTGAGACTCCTGGAATACTGGAACAATACCATTGTTAACTGAACATTCCCCTGGAAAACTACCCTGCACATTTGCACTTGTGTTCTGAAACAACGGCCCCAAGCAGGAGGGCTGCTCAACGCTGCTGCTGGCTTCCAAGCCGTGCCTCGGATGCTTGGGCAGAGGCTCCGCGCCTCCGAGCGGGGAAGCGCGAGTAAGATCAATGACATTAGCAGCATTGCCTGCATTGAGCATGCCAAACAACGCCTTCCGGTCCGAAACATGGGTGGCATGGGGATGGTTCCCAGCCACCTGAGCAAGCAACGAGGTGCTCGGCGCCGCTCTCGCGGGCTGGCCGTACTGCGAGCTCGGATGGCTTGCGGCCAGCTGCTCCGGCGGCGCCGCTCCCTGTGCGGCGAAGGGGCGGAGGATGTGGCGCAGACTGGCGCTGTCAATCTGCACACGGACACAGTAGAACGACGCCATGTGAGCATCTCCGTTTCAACAGTAGAACACCAATCAAATCAACTCCACACTACACTGCATTTCGATTTCATCAAGGGAAAAAAAAACAAATGCCGGACACCACCGATCCTACGAATCGAGCTACACGAAATCATCCCCAAACTAAACTCTGTTCGGCTCGGGGAATCGAGCAAAACCCCTCGTAAACCCCCCGCATTCTACAACCACAAAGCCAATTACCCGCCCATAGGAGAACCGCGAGGTGGGGGGGAATGGCAGTACCTGGCTCGGCAGCGGTGTCGCCGTCGCCGTCGCCGGCGCCGGAGCAGGCGGAGGCGGAGGCGGAGGCCACCGCGCGGGCCACGCGTCGTCCATCGTGTGGCAGCGGAGGCGTGGTTGGTGGTGGTGGCGAGGCGAAGGAGACGATTGGGCTTTGGGGCTCTCGCGTAGTTATGGGCGGGGGGGGGGGGATACTGTAGACGAGAACTGTGGCGAGGTGAGGGGGTGGGGACGAGGCGCGCTTTGGCTCGGTCGGGCGGGCCGGCTTTTTTTTGCCTTTTGCTGCTGGTGATGAGTCACTCGGGTCTGGTCTGGTCAGGTCTGGTCAGGCAGGGTCAGACGCTGAGACGATAGGATTGGCACGCCTGTCTCCCTGGATGGACCTCGTCCATTTAATCATTAACCACTCTGCTGCCGTTGTTGCAGACGATAAATGTTCCTGCTTTGGCTCTGATTAATGAGTGGCAGCAGCTTTACTCGAAATGTTGGGATTCTAGTCCATATTCTTAACTCGAAAATTACGAGTATCGTACTCCCTCTAGTCTATATAATACACAGCCACTCTTAATATGGAAAGATCAAGAAATAATTATTATCATATTGTACTTTGAATTATCTTAATAAATGTATAATGCATATGGAGTACATCCAATAGAGTTAGAGAGTGTGAGAGTGAAGGTTTTAAGAAAGTAGTAATTTAATGAAGAATATGTTATAGTTAATGGCATGCATGCATGCATAGAACATCTAAAAAAGTGGTTGTGACTTATATTATGTAATGTATTTAGTATTTATAAAATTCAGATTATAATTTACAAGTCTAAAGTTGGGAGACACATTTTTCAAAAAAAAAATCCCTAGCTGGTTTCATAGAATCTCGAGTTCTTCAAACAAAACCATATGAAACATACTTTTGCATGGCGATTAATAGCCGTGACAAAGGTTTACAATACTACTACAATCATAGTAAGACGGAACAATACTAATCTTACAGTATATCTTATTTCCATACAATTCCACCATAAAATTGGTAGGATTTGAATCTCGGTCCTATGATTTTAGTAAGTAATATTTAAAGCTAATAAGGTAGATTTTGAAAGTAATGTGTTATATGAAATGATGAAATAACACCTAGAGTAAAAAATTCAAAATCTAGATTTGGTTGTGGCTTACATGAGCTGCTGGGTAGTACAATATTATCTATCCAATGCTTACCAATCATGTCGTAGTAGTAATACATTGATCATCAATCATCCACTGATATTAACATCGAAAAACAGTGTCTATAGGAGTACTGTGCCTTATCAAGTGTGAGGTTGAAACAAAGAGGTGTTTGGCTGACTGCAAGACTGTCACTACTAGTAACTTTTTCTCTCTTTCTTTTTTTTCCTTTTTCAATTGACTTTTTATGCTGACCATTTTTGCAGCAACGGTCCATAAAGACCTGGTGCATCGACCACTTTTGGTGCAAAAGCCAATCACGAGGAGCGTGGGGCCCGTGAACAGTGCAAGGCGTGGAACACGGGGGCCCACCTGTGGTAAAGGACCCTCCGTAGACCTGGTTCTTCATGTGCCGCATGAACCAAGATGCGGACCCCACCTACGGTGCAACGCAGTGAACGGTGGGCTGGGCCTGGCTGCGGCACTGGACAAGTGAAGGTAGTTCTGGGCCATTAGATGGGCCGTAAAGCTAACTCACTGATGGTTCGTGATGTGGTTTATGGGCTGGACGTCTGTACCCTCGTGGACCTATTCCAGCGTTTGTCGAGCCCATTAAGTATTAGCTGGGTCCAGATGGGCCAGGTAACCAGGTAGGTCCATGAAAAGAAAACAAACTGATTTTTATCCTCCATAAAAAAATGAATTTAAATGTTTATCAGGTAAATTCCGGTATCAGCCACCAAGGACCGATAATCCGGAATATATATACTCGAAACCTTACTGGCAAGAGACAACTGGATAAAATTCAAACTCGTCAATCAAATCATGCCAGAATATCTACGTGCCACGAAAGTGATAGAGGCAGTTGTTAGTAGCAACATTGGGGTTGGAAGATTTGGCCATAATAATAAAACAGTATTCCCTCTTGTCTTTAATATTTCGAAGTTTAGAAAAAGATTTAACCAAACTTTAAAAAGGTAAACATAAAATTTGTACTATCAGAATAAGTTTATGATATTATGGGCACTTTTCAAAACAAATCTATTCATACCATTTTCTGAATTAATCATTAAAAAATCCATTGAGTTCGATCATATCATACACGTTAAATATTTATGACTTGTGGGTGGCTCTCCCTTTTAAGGTGGCTTTCTCCTCCCAAGCTTAGCAAGGTTTAACAACGGGTAATAGTGGAGGATGTCCTCATCATTCCCACCCCTTTAACAAATAACCTAAGGTTGCTCGGACCCCAACAGTTCATAGGCACACCCATTCAGGAAAAGGCCTAATCTCCCTAAAAGACTAGTCCAATAGGGGAAGGGTGGCTCTCCCTTTTAAGGTGGCTTCCTCCTCCCAAGCTTAGCAAGGTGGGATTATTCAAAAGCTCACACGGTCGCCGCCCGACTTTGGCGTCTTTGCCAGCGGGTAATAGTGGAGGATGTCCTCATCAGAGCCTTTGTGTTTTGGCTTCATACATATCCTCTTTTCAAATTTTCATTTCAGATATTTCTATTTGCGTGCTTAAAAGCATCCAACTAACCTGCGAGAAGCTAACACAAAGCATGCGATTATTAAAACCACCGAAACTTCACGACATATATTACTCCATCCGTCCCAAAATATAAGGGATTTTAGATGCATGTGACACTTCTGAGTATGATGAATATGACAGAGAGTATATCTGCATTCACTGTATTAGGAAGTGTCACATCCGTCCAAAATCCGTTATATTTTTGGACGGAGGGAATAGATGTTTAGAGGCATGGTAGAGTTTTGCATTTTACCATTATAGATTGATTTGCCCGTATTAATTGCACCTTATTGATTGCTCTCTCTCCTATGCGGGCATTCCATGCAGCGGCTTGCTCGAGTGCTGCTGTTGTTGCTCAACTTCTTGCAAGCCACAAATTGATACTACACAAATGTATCATATACCAAGCCAGAGCAAAGATGGCTCTCAGATCTACCTATGTCGCCTCCTTGCGAGCCAGCCCAAAGGTGGCTCCCAAATCCGCCGATGTCGCGTCCTTGCGAGCCGGAGTGAAGGAGGCCCTCGTAGCTTTCCATTCCTGGCCACCCATCACTGCCGGAGTTGAGGTCGAAGGCGGCCATGCCTATCCTAGAAGCACTGCCACTGCCGGATCCAGTGAAGTGGTACAGGGAGTCGGTGAAGGGGTCGTGCCCGCCGGCGGGGGAAAGTGAATCGGACTACGACATGAAGTCCCTCGTGCTGGAGCCGTCCGTCTCCGCCTCGGACTAATGCGGTGGGTGAGATCGGCGGAGGCGGGCGTGAGCGGTGGCGGTGAGCGAGATCGGCAGAGGAGGAGGCATACGAGATGGGGAAATTTTGGGGGAGCGGATGAGAGAGAGCGTGCGAGGGTAAGGGATGCGAGAGAGCGAGCAGGGGCAGTGTGCGTCCCACATGGCTCCCAACGCTCTTTTTAGCAAAACTTGCTGCTTTGGACTCCCAAATGATAAATGCCAACTTGTCTACTTTTGCTAGTAGTGTTTAGATCTATTTTGCCAAAAAGTGGTCCAAAACGACAAAACTTTCACTATTTTGGAGGATCTAAACAGACCCTTAATATGCTATATTTGTCTCCAATAAAACTGTTGTCATATACTCTTCGGATTCACATTTTGAACTAGACTTTTTTCTCTCTCTAAAACTTCAGGTACATACTATATATAAATTTAGTAACAAAATAAGGAATTCAAATAAGCCCATCAAGAGGTACTTGTATTTCCCTTTTATTTTTCATAATTCCACTGTTCAGTGGAACGAAATTAAATCGTGGGGCGGAAAACCCAAAAAAAATGGGAAAAGAGGGAAACGCTATCCGCTAACCCCTCGCGCCGTCGCGCTTCCTGTGCCTCGAGGACCGACCATGGCGGCGGCGAGGCGCGCCGCTGGCCTCCTCCCTCTCCTCCTCTCCTCGCCGTCGCGAGCTCGCCTACCGCACCGCCAAGCGCTTGCCCTGACCCCTCCTCTGCTTCGCCCCCACCGCCTCTACTCCCACTCCCCCAAGCCCTCGTCGTCCGCCGCGTTTTCCGCCTTCGCCTCCGCCTCGAATGGCGCGCCTGCGGGGAGAGCCCGGGAGCTGCACCTCTACAACACCAAGTCGCGGAGGAAGGAGCTCTTCCAGCCCCGGGTGCCCGGCGGGGAGGTCGGCATGTACGTCTGCGGCGTCACCCCCTACGACGACAGCCACATCGGCCACGCCCGCGCCTACGTCGCCTTCGACGTCCTCTACAGGTTCCCCCTAGCTTCATTCTTCTCCGGATTTGGTCCCGTTGGTGAATTGCGTGCTCTAGTGATAGTGATGTTGACTGTGCTGTGCAATTGACTCACCCAATGAGGCGTTATGTACTTAATTAGTTATATGGATGTGTTAACAAATTTACACCGACTTAATAGCAGTATTCTATACATGGAGAAATGAGGAGACATGTTTATAGCAGTAAGTGCATTGCAAAATTACACAATGTATTATGTACATTCACAATTTGTTTGTGGACACACTGTGAGAAACATTTTGCGCTCTAAATAGCTCGGTTTAGGATGTTCTGACATTAGAACTACGGCAAACTGTTATGGTAGTTGCGTGCGAAATGATCCTAACTCTTCCCTTAGCAACAGATCTGCCGGAAACAGAAAAGGTACTCTGGGAATGGTTGTTAATTTGTTATGACGTTAGGAAAACAAGCCAATTCACTGTTGCATCTCAATTAGCTAAGCATAACGGAGCAACTCAACCATCATACCCAGGAACAATTTCACACCCTGAATCCGGCCGTATTCCTTTATGGTCTTTTTATTCACATTCAGCACACTCTTACCATGTTGTCTTGTCTTATTTTCCTCTCCTGCTAGAAAGTACCATACGGTCATATGCTTATCTCATGTATCATGATATCTGGCAGGTACTTGCGTTATTTGGACCATAAAGTGCGCTATGTTCGGAATTTTACTGACATTGATGACAAGGTGATTTATGGGTCAAATTTATTTTCAAACAAGTGATGCTGGTCCTCATTATCTGAAAGCTAAATTTAATGTAAACAAGGAATCGTATTGTATTTATTTATGCTACAGTTATTCTACCTGTTCATCTTCTATAGTTAGAAGTCATTATATCCATACCTTTAATATGGAGAAAACGTGTCATGTTGACCAGTTGAAGTAGAGTAGACCAAGGTCATGTTTGATTCATATTGCAACCAATGTTGTGTTTGTTTCAGATTAATACCTGAATTTAACTTCAAATTTGTTTCAATATATTTACCTCCCTCATTATATTAAGCTATTTTGCTTGAAACCTAGAAAGAAAATTTATATGCCAATTGCTAATCTGCACAGGATACCTGAGTTGCACTTCTGGAATTCTGTAGATAATTGCAAGAGCAAATCAATTGGGAGAAGATCCTTTTAGCTTAAGCAAAAGGTACTCTGATGACTTCCTATCAGACATGGCTAATCTTCATTGTTTACCACCATCTGTGGAGCCTCGCGTTTCAGACCACATTGATCAGATTATAAACATGATTAAACAGGTAAAATATGCATGCAGTATGGATCATTGGTGTTTTTCCTATGGTGCTTAATTTTTATTATTATGCAGTTCTTTCTGTTGTTCTCCTATTAAATCCACCATTTCGTGTAATAGGCAGTGAAAGTTCCTTATTTTGACTACTACTATCTAGAAAGAGATGATTCATCACACACCATTAAATCGATACCTGATAATGTGTTGCTTTCTTTCATTGTTAATGCATCATAGGATCCGTGTACAGAGAACATCCAATTCCAAATTATAAATTTGCAATTTGTTATTAAGAATGGTAAGCATGTAAAATATGAAAATGATTGTTATCACATATATGCAGTTACGAACAGTTGCACCTGATTGACAATATTGTGCTGCTATTGAATTCTCTGTGCAATATAATTGTTTTATGTGCTGCCCAGCTTGATGTTTTATCTATGACATTTCTTGGAACAGATCATTGATAATGATTGTGCATATGCAATTGGCGGGGATGTTTATTTCTCTGTTGAAAATTTCCCTGAATATGGGGATTTATCTGGTCGAAAATTAGATGATAATAGAGCTGGTGAAAGGGTTGCTGTTGATGAGAGGAAGAAGAACCCAGCTGATTTTGCTCTTTGGAAGGTATGTCTTGTTCTCAATTTGTAGATTTCTTCTATTTTTTGTGTATCTATTATGTACTCTTGTTCTATGAGGAAATTATTTATTTTAATTTCAAGATTTCTTTAGAGAGTTCAGTTTCAAATTAGCTGATTTTATGTTTCTCCAGGCTGCAAAAGATGGGGAGCCATCTTGGGATAGCCCTTGGGGCCCTGGAAGGCCAGGATGGCACATAGAATGCAGTGCTATGAGTGCACATTACTTGGGCCACTCTTTCGACATACATGGCGGTGGGGAGGACCTGATCTTTCCACACCATGAAAATGAAATTGCTCAGAGCCGTGCAGCATGTTGTGACAGCAGCATAAATTACTGGATACACAATGGCTTTGTCAATGTAAACAGCCAGAAAATGTCAAAATCGCTGGGCAACTTTGTCACTATACGCAAAGTAAGACTATATAACTTTCATTTTTTGTCTAATCGTTGCGCTTTATCTTTCTCAAAGATTTCCAACTTTCTCAGGTTACGGAACTGTACCACCCACTTGCTTTGAGGATGTTTTTACTTGGTACACACTACAGGTCCCCAATCAACTATACCATAGAACAGCTTAATGTTGCATCAGACAGACTGTACTACACTTACCAGGTATATTATATCTTCTTATATCCATGTTAGTTTTACTAACCTTATGCTTTATTTCTACCAGCAAAACAGTCGGGCCGGACCTTGGGGTGGTGGAAAGATGATCCTGAGCCTATTTGGCTTCTAGGACTTATTCAGGCCTTTGTACTTTGGCTTGCCTTGTTAAAAGCATCTGTAAATTCACATTCCAAAAGTGTCTATGCTACTGTAAAAACTAAAGAGGGAATGACACTGGACCTTAAATTGGCATGCATGAATTAGTAACATTACTTAATTTTTTTTGTGAGAACAAGTGTAGGTTATGTTTATGCCAAGGCATTTACAAGATTAAGATACACATTTAGTCTATAGATATATTAATTAGATGAACCATATTTTTATCTTTTGAAAGCCAAATATATCATTATTCAGATGGCCTGTGAGTCTGTGACCATGATTCATTCCTTAACCCCATACAACTTGCCATCTGCACTTGTCTTGGCTAAGCTGCAGTACTCCAAATAAAAGTCGGTTCGCTTAAATTGAAATGTCCATTGAACTTTTTTTTTTTGTCTTAGCTGATTAAAAACTGGTTGTGAATTGGCCCGAAATTTAGAATCACAGGGTAGCACTGAATTCATCTTAGTATAGCTATAGTTGCACGCATGGTCTGACCAGGCAGCCCTGGCTTTTGCTGCTTCTCAATCTCTAGCCAAAGCAAGATCACTTAAGTTCTGGTTTAACCTTTATGCCTGGAGACTGGGAAGCTGCTTCAATTTGAATGACTAGTCAGAACTTTTGAGTTTTGGTGGCACTGAAAGGGAGATGCTGCATTTTTGCTGTTTCTTCAGGAGATATTTCAATGCCATAACTCTTAATTAAAGAGTTTATGTTTTTTGTTTTTAATTTACAGACACTACAAGATTGTGAAGAAAGTTGTCAACAGCACCAAAGCAAGGCTGGAGATCCATTACCTGTTAATACTACAAATTGTATCCAGAAGCTCCATGATGAATTTGAGACTTCAATGTCTGATGATCTTCACACTTCAGTAGCACTGGCTGCTATTTCTGAGCCATTAAAAGTTATGAATGACTTGCTGCATACTCGTAAGGTAAATCGAATGAAAACCTTGTGGAGATACAGTTAGTGACTTTCAGGGATCTATGATTTGATCTGCTCGCACGCCACAAGTAAAATACTAAAATCATACCTAATGTTTCAATCTTTCTCTGATATTTGAGCAGGGAAAGAAGCAGGAAAAACGGCTGGAATCACTTTCTGCTATGGAAGAGAAAATAAGGATGGTGCTTTCTGTCCTAGGGCTACTACCATCAAGCTATTATGAGGTGAGTGCTATGTAACATAGCCTATGTTTTATCAACTCTGCCCAAGCAGTTTGAATATATTTTGTTGTCTGTTGAAGAACACACTTTGTTTCTTTCCTCTGTGAATATGCATTGTCTGTCCTGATACGATCACTTGTATAGCCCATCTCCTGTATTTTGTTGTCATAGACATTATGGTATTCAATAAACCAAGGTTCAGAAAGTCACAGTTTACTGTCCGGTGACAAGTTGAGAAAACCACACCAGCAGGCCGTTTTATTAAACCTTGTCTTCTAGGGTATATTCCACCCCCTTAAACTCCACGCAATGTCTACTCAAGTATCCGACCTCAAATATGCAAAATCAAGATATTCAAATTTTATATCTTAAAGAACCAACCAGTACAACCTGTTTTTTTGCTAACAAATGGAACTGGATTCCTGCCATTTTCTTTTCCTGTTTTGTTAAGTTCCTGTTTCCAGAAAGTAAAAGGCAATAGAGGGTCAGGTTTGGTTTACCACTCAGCCTTATTCAAGTTTGAGCTTCAACTGTCATACTGTTGAATAGCCAGGACAAATGTATCTCTTCAAAACTTGTGTTTCCTTTGGAAATGAAAGAGATACTGTGGTAACCACTGTTATAGGTGCTTAATTAATGTATCCGTGCCCAGAACAGGGCAGCTAGCGCAATCAAATTCCAACACGGTATTTAAGTTGTACTTTCCATAGGCACTCTGTTTATTATAATTCTACTCTAGTAAACATGACTGTGATTAGCCAAACCTTTTCTCCTTCACACACCGGACATCACTAACAATTCTCTGTTCTCAGGCTCTGCAGCAGCTGCGGGAAAAAGCACTAAGAAGAGCTTCCATGACAGAGGAGCAGGTGCTTCAGAAAATTGAAGAAAGGACTTCAGCAAGAAAGGCAAAACAGTATGAAAAATCCGATGAAATCAGAAAAGAATTGGCTGCTGTTGGAATTGCCCTCATGGACGGTCCTGACGGAACAACTTGGAGGCCATCTGTACCTCTTTCTGAGCAAGGGGTGGTTGCCAGTACATGATCTGCGCAACAAAAGCTCCGGAGTGACCATTTCAAATACCCATCACCACATGATCCATTCATGAGGAACTGCGATGTTTTCCAGGTTTTGAGAGAAAATCAAGAGAACATCTGACGAATCAGATGGCCTGCATGATTCGGTAGAGTGGATATGAGTTTCTGTCTGACAGAAGATAGCCAAGTTTTACAGTTTTATTACATCATACATATTTTGTTCTCGAGTCAGCTGATATGGTGCAACATTTTGCCTATTTTTTTACCTGCAGAGTTTACTGCGCGATACTTTTTAGAAACATCAGTACAAAATATTGTGTGCTGATTCATTTTTTGAATGATAATACGGTTTGGCATTTCAAATGGAAGTAAAGCAAATGTATAAGCTATTCGGAGCAAAATGTTTTCACCATCATTTTTCTCCATCGTGTGTTTCTGTTCATACTTGTTAAAGATTCATCCAGTATTGAAAGGTATGCTTGTGCTTGAGAACTCTGCTTCTGTTGCTGGATCTATTGCTTATTTACTGGTATCGGTCGTAATCTATACGTAAATTTTCCAGCCAATTGCCACCGAGGTTGGCTGACGTGGCGAGGACGGGCCCACAAATCAGCGTCTCGCGGCCTCCGCTTCTTCGCCCACCTCGCGTTCGAAAAAAAGGAAAGTTCAAAGCGAGAAAACGAAAACAGTTGCACACACTTGCTCCTCTCCCCGTGTCCGCTCGTTTGCTCCGGCGTCGCGTGTCCGCGTGCTCCTCTCCTCTTCACGAAAAACTCTCCGCAACACCACCACGCCGGAAAATTCCCAAGTCCACACTCCTCATCTCTCTCTCTCGCTCGCTCGATTAGCTCGGTTCCAAGCCGAGCAGGAGCGACGCGAGCGAGCATGGCGGCGTCGGCGTCGGCGTCGGCGCTGCAGGCCGAGCGGTGCCTCCTCGTCGGGGTCGGGGCGGGGCCCCGGCGGCACCGGCTCCCCCTCCGCATGCCCCCGCCACTGCACGCGCCGCCGGCTCTGCTCCTTCTCCCGCACCGGCGTCGCCGCCGATGGCCCCCGGCCGTGAGGGCCTCTCCCGGCGAAGGCGGGGGAGGCGGAGGCGGAGGTGGTGGTGGTGGTGGTCTCGCGGGCGCCCTGGAGAAGCGTCCGGTTATGGGGGTGGTGGCGGAGGAGGAGGATGGGGAGGAGAGGGGAGCGAAGGTGGTAGAGGAGGGGGAGGGGGATGTGGCGGCGGCGGCGGCGTTGGAGATGAGGTGGCCGCCGTGGGAGGGACTGGCCGAGCGGTACAAGCTCATCGGCGCCACCTCGCTCGCTTTCGTCATTTGTAACATGGACAAGGTGCGCGTGGTCGTACTCCCCCAGTCTCCAACCTTGTTTGAAATTCTGTGCTTAATTTTCCGTAGGTGATGTCTGCTCTCACTGTAGTAGTAATGAATATGTGAGTCATCCTCGAAGCAGAAAACAATAAGTCCATAATCTGAGCATGGCACAACGTTGTAAATTTGCTACTTGAGAGTGAGAGTGTAGCTCTGTTTTCAGGAAAAGGAATATGGAGACTCGAATTGGAGTGAGACCGCTGGGTTGTTGTTCTAGGCTTCTAGTCTTGTTTTACTAAGTTATACTCATAAGAGAAAACAAAATAGAACAGCACCATTTGGTGGTAGGCAGTTAGTAGGCAACTAGGCATCATAAATAATGAAGAAAGCGTGACAGTGGATCTTCAGCATGTATTGCTATTACCACTTAGAAGTTGTCCATCGGTATGTTAAATGTGCCATATGCAAGCAGAGAACTTATTAGTATGCATGGTGCACCTCAGCTGAAAACAGTCTTCTTACTTGCTTAGTGACAGGTGATAACTGTTGTATTAAACATGACAATACATTTGGCAAGATTCATTCTAGCAGTCGTTTGTACTACTAACTAGGCCGATGTCATTTTCTCACTCGTAGTTACATGATCTCTTGAAGTTTTTAGTTGGTCTTGATATACACTTCACTTCTGCATTAGTCCATATGGACAGTTCATTTTTCTTTCCTTAGGAATATTTGCTAATTGCAAACACTCCAGTTTTCAGGTTAACTTGAGTGTTGCAATTATACCAATGTCACACCAGTATGGTTGGAACTCATCGACTGCTGGATTAGTCCAATCGTCATTCTTTTGGGGTTATGCTTTGAGTCAACTGCCAGGTGGATGGCTAGCAAAATTGTTTGGCGGAAGGTTTGTTTGCGGTAACAAAACCCCCCTTGTGCATAGACAAATACAAAAGCTACCTATGATTCTCCATCTGCATGGGTGTTTTAATATCTTAGCAATGCTTTTTTTTGGTGGTTGCTGTTGCTTCCGGGATAAGCATGTTTCCAATAATAAATGCAAATGATGATAATGGCTATTTCTTTCTGCAACCCATCTTGTTAGGAATTAGGATATCTTACGGATTTTTTTGTGTACCTTTATGGGAAAGAATGATCCGTTAAGTTGGTAGTAAGCAAAATTGCAAATAGCAGTACGAGGTCATAATTTTTTTTGGATGGTACATATCTTCATTTATTTTACCCTTTTCCTTACTCCCAATTGTTTATTTTAACTATAAATTTGAGTAAATTCCTAGTTACAATGATTTAATAGCAGCAGTAATCAATTCAAATAAACTAGAAGAACCATATAGCAATTTTAAACTTCAGGAGAATCATTCTGCCTATCTTGCATAGCTCAGAGGCACTTCCTATAATTTTATCCCTTGTTCTTTCTCATTATCTTATCTCACTCCAAAGGTTCTTAGTGTTCATCTATGTATTGTTTTCTTGTAATAATTAATTATTGTTATCTCATGTGCTAACTGTAGGAGAGTACTTGAGATTGGAGTTGTGGCTTGGTCTTTGGCAACTGCCATTATCCCTGCTGTAGCAGGGTTTATGCCAGGGCTTGTGTTGTCAAGGATTCTGGTATACCTCTACTTATTAATTAATCTCTCTATCCTATAATTTGTTGATCTGAAAAGTTGTGATACATTATAATTTGTCCATGTCTGAGGAAAGCATATGCAAGACAGTGAGGGCTGCTAGTTTGAGAAGCCACTCATCATGCAATTAGGAGAAATTGGGTTCTCTATGAAAAAATAAATTCATAAACATGCATGTGACTACTGACTATATTATCAGACAATGAAAACTTCGAGGTGGCGGATTGCTGATGAACTAGAATAATGGATATAAACAGTTGTGGTGCAGAGCAAACCAAAATAAAACAGCCAGTGCAATATGTCACTCCATATAGATGAGATTAACTAGTTTTTTTGCCACGTTTTCAGTTCAGTACCATAGGAGTGTTCCTGACTCGTAATAAAAAAAATACAATGTATTTCTTATGTTTGCATTATATAACATATATTCTATTTAAATTGTGTTGTTCTGCTAGGTAGGTATTGGAGAAGGTGTATCACCATCAGCTGCTACAGATTTGATTGCAAGGCAAGATTGAGTAAACATTTTTCCTTAAAAACATCCTTACCATTTTCATTTTCTTAGTGCTAATTTGGTAGCCATCTAAAATATCTAATCATCTGGACATATGCTTATTAGATTTTTTATTAGAGTGCCGCCCTGTGTTTTTTGTATGATGGTAAATTTTGTGGTTTGTAAAATCTGATGTAACCAACTAATGTGTCTTCATTTTTCATGACTATTGTTTGAAATTTTAGTTGTTCAGATGAATTATTTTGTAGCTAACTGTGCAGAATAGCAAGTGGTGGTTACATTTTTTTTTTACTTTCAGCTGTTGAATGATACATAAAAATAATATTTCCTGCTTCTTAGTTCTTATGGATTTCTCACAGTGATTCGTACGTACATTTCACAATAGTAGTCCAGTTGTCATTGGCTTTCTATATTTGAGATTTTTATTAAGGAACTTTGTATTACTTGTATGCATAACAGGAATCCCATAGAAATTTGACTCTTCTTCCTGCTGAGATGTTAATTATATTAAACATAATGTAGTAAGTACAATTGTGCCTGATCCCTAACTGAAAAATAAAAATAGAACAAAAACACCAAACTGTTATGACCTTTTGGATCCTCATGGACTATTGTTTCATAACTTTTAACTGTTATGGCTGCCCATACAGGTCCATCCCTGTTCAAGAACGATCAAGAGCAGTTGCTGTTGTGTTTGGTGGTTTGAGCTTTGGAAGCGTATTAGGGTATGTGTTTTCAGGTATTTTGTGGTACATATGCACGCTTGTTCACAATTCTGCCAGATAGTTAATTCCATATACATTGTTTGGCATTACAGACTATTGTTCGCCCCACCTATTATTCAGAACCTTGGCTGGGAATCTGTCTTTTACATATTTGGACTTCTTGGAATTATTTGGTGAGGAAACATCTCTAATAAGCAGATGAAATATTATTTATTCTGTTTAACTTCCCATTCATTTTTTTCATAGGTGTCTAGGGTTTCAATCTCTTAAAGAACAACAGTTAAGGGGCAATGAAGATATACAAGTAATACAAGATTTGGGGCAGAGTCCTTCTGGATCAAGTGACCTCATCTCGTCCTCTGTGTCTCCAAAATCATCGGAGTCATCATTGGGAGAGCTGATGAATTCACTAAAGGTTCTATTTTTCACCAGATGAAATAGTTCTGCCATAATCTCTGTTATGACCTAGAAGTATATTGATGGATTAAGTTACAAGACTGTTCTCAAGTTGGGTCATTTGTGAAGTCAAAGTATCAAAATCATGGCATGGGGACTATGTGATTTGATGCTCTATTGTTCATAAAATATACCAAACTGAATAACTACTAGTTCGAATGGTTCGAGATTCTATTCACCTCACCTGTTGCAGATGTGATCATTCCCAAATAAACAAATATGGTTTGCAATATGACCAGGAAAATTTTTTAGTGCATTATTATCTCTAGACAAATCTTGAAGTAGAGTTCTTTATACATGTGATTATGCGGCCAACATTGCAACTTTCTTTTTCTTTAGGATGTTCCTTGGAGAGAATTTTTCAAAAGCAAGGCAGTGTGGGCAATGATATATGCTCACTTTTGTGGAAGCTGGGGGCACTATACTTGCTTGTCTTGGCTACCAACATTCTTTAGGTATGGTCTTTGGTGTTTTACACAGGTCTTGACATTTTGTTTCTCTTACTTTTTGGCTCAGTGTAGATTAATTGTCTCTATTTTGTTTAAATGAGTAGTGCATAGTTGGATAGCAGCTATCAACTTAGTGCTGCTGTGGAGAGTGAAGTGCTTAGTTTCATTGACCATGTTTTCTCTTTCATTTCAGTCATTTTCTTAAATGTCCATACATGTTGTTTTGGGATTCAGTTTTATGAAAATGGTTTGACTACGAAAATAGGACCAAACAAAAAATAGATGGTTTAGAATTTTGCATTTGATTTTTCCAAAAAAAAAAACTGGTTTTTAAAGATCATGGTCTGATCATTTGCTATTTGTACAATACATAATGCCAAGTTTATGCCGATAACATGTTTTTGTTCTTGCAATTCATTACTGTTCAAATGATATGCAGTGAGGAGCTGGACCTGAATTTGACTGAAGCAGCATGGGTATGTACATGCTTCCTTAAAATTGTAGTGAGATTCTTCTATTCAATGCTTCATTTCCTCCTCACTAGGGAAAGTCTGTTTTCCCTTATTTTTCATTGATGAATGCAATTTCTGTCATGAGAGCTTATGGTTTTACATATTTGCTGTAGGTGTCAGTCCTTCCTCCTTTGGGCTCAATGATCATTACATCTATTGCTGCACCTTTTGCAGACAACTTGATATCAAATGGAGTAGACACCACAAAGGTCAGGCCTTTACTTTCTTAATTTTGTGCTGATGATAAAATGATTTTTCTCTTTATTTTATTTATATTTACTTTAGGAAATAGGAAGTGGTTCTGTAAATAATTCTAGGAATCATTTGTAAAGGCCAGAATAGTAAACTTGTCAGGGGTGCCTGTGTTATATTCTGTATCCTGACAGGATGTTCTGTTTTCTTGTGGAGAACTGGAAAGTGAGCTATCTATTGCGGGAAATTAAAGTATCTATATCTGTTAAATTTTTTCTATAGGTACGAAAGATATGTCAAACAATTGCATTTCTGTCACCTGCAACTTTCATGATGCTTTCCTCTGTGGATCTTGGTGTGCCACCGTGGGAAATTGTTGCTTTTCTTACAAGTGGTCTGGCACTCTCCAGCTTCGCATTGTCAGGTCATGTTGTTAAGCTTCCCATGAGCATACCATTTTCTGTGTTTGCAAGATCTAAAGCTAAATATTCTGGTTGATAAACAGGTCTTTATTGCACCCATCAAGATATTTCTCGTGAGTATGCAAGCATTCTGCTGGTAAGGCAGCATCAGTCTGTCCTCTCATTTTTTCTTCATTTGTATTCTTGAAAAGGAATTGAAAAATAAGAGCAATCCTTCACAGTGTGTGTGCTTAAAGCTCGACAGATTCATTTGTTTTAGTTCTTTTATTTGTACTTGATATTAGCTGCAGCACTGTACTTAGTCTCAGATGGCTGCTCTAACTTGTTTCTTGTGTTTCAGGGCATCACAAACACTGTAGGTGCTGTACCTGGAATAGTTGGCGTTGCACTAACAGGCTATCTTCTTGATACAACTCATTCTTGGAGTGTATGTCATCATCACAGTCTAATCCATCTTCATAACCTATAGTTTTTCATTATGAACTGTTCTAATCTCATAGTTCTCTTTTATGTGCAGATATCACTTTTCGCACCTTCGATATTTTTTTACCTGACGGGTACTGCTGTCTGGCTAGCATTTGCCAGCAGTGAGCCTCAGGAGTTTTCGAAGTCAGAACCGGAGTCGTCGTGAGTCATGACTTGGATGGCAAATAGTATATACAGTTCCCAGAGGGGATCAGTTCAGGAAGAATTTTGTCAGATGTAGTTTCCCTGGCAAAGCGTTGGATTTTTGGACATTGGACAGGAGAATACAGCTCATTGGATATTGGCAAATTTTTGGCCAATTTTAGTTTAGGCTTTTGTGTAGCGAGTGTCATTTCACGTTCTGACACGATTTCCTTTTCCATTACGGGGAGTTGCGTTGTTTTCTGCAGTAGTATCCCAGGTAACGGTAGAAGAAGTAAATTTGTTGTATCATATGACATCTTTGGGTATATGTGATGATTGATGGAGTTCATTACGACGTGATCCTTGACCATGTATTTAGTGAATTCTTGCCAGTTCGATATTATGGATAAAGTTAGTGTTTTCGTTTTTTTTCTTTTGCGGTGGTTAGTGGCTTAGTGCCTTGCTTATTTGAGTGTTCTTTTCATTGCTCTGCCAAAAGTCTGCAGGATTCTGTTATTCCTTTTTGTCCAGTTGAAGCCTTTTTCCGCCGCCAAAGAGTGACGTCAAATTCAGCTTCACCAGTTGCACAAAATAACATTACGGACCTGTACAAACCAAACCATAGCTGAATGGAGGCGGCTTCGAAGATCAACATGACAATGCACAGAGGTCACACTTAAAGGTAAAGTAACAAGAATCAGACTTGAATGCATGACAGAATCAGATCTCCAATAAATAACACACCGCAGCATTTTACGTCTACATGCACAAAGGCAAAACACAAGAGAACGGCTTAACATCAGATGTCAAATGTTTTCCTACTCCTATGAGAGACCCAAACAACCCAAACCATAAGCTACATAGGTCCCATAACCTGTTCCATCATCTAAACAGCACAACAGACTGAAACAAGTTGAGGAGGCAGATGCAGGATGAAGGAGGCTAGCTCATTTCTTCTTCTTGGAAGGCGGCTGGTCCTCGTCATCATCATCTTCCTCATCATCATCATCCTCATCATCATCATCCTCACCATCTTCGTCACCACCATCGTCGTCATCATCATCTTCATCATCGCTGCCTCCGTCACCATTTGCCTCAGGGTCATCATCATCATCATCTTCATCCTCACCCCCTTCATCGCCAGAGAAGTCCTCCTCGGCATCATCATCATCACCACCTTCATCATCCTCGTCGTCATCTTCATCATCGTCGTCGTCATCATCTGACCCATCCTTGTTCTCAGGGGTAGATTCAGATTTGATTCTGCCGAGTAGCCTTTAATTACAAAGTAAACTAATCAGCAACAAAGAACATCTTATATTACATAGAAAACATTATTATTACATAATAAGACAGGGAACTTACTTGTAGATTGCATGTTGGTCCTCATTAAATATATCTGCTCCACCATTTACCGCTTCCATCTAAGAAAGATACCCGTTACGTCAGAAAGTGCCAAAAAGAAAGAAATGCATTAATATTATATTACATCATTGCGTTCAATTATAAACTTGGAATGATCTCAGGCAACATGACAAGATATTATCCAACGGTCTGCGTGAGTATATACCATAATTAGTCCAAAAAAGCCAAAATGTTCAATTATAAAATTGGAATTATCTCAGGCAATGCGACAAAATATTATCCAACGATCTGTGTGAGTATATACCACAGTTAGTCCAAAAGCCACAGTATGGAAGCTTCTACTAAGCTGGTTTGAGGGGCTTCCCTAATAAGCTGTTCTTTAATATTACAGCATAAACTTTCTACGAATTAGAAATCTGTAGAGAATAGCTTATGGGATTTGATAATAAGGTACTTCAAAAACTTCATTTACAGAGCTAGATTAGAAACAATTAGTGTTTTGAAAGAGATGCAAATTGAACAGATAGTTCGCAACCAATCAGCATCTTACCTATATGCCAACGTCAGTCAAAACGTTCTGTAGCATCAAAACACACTGATGCATACTGATACTTCAGGAAAAACATCACATACTGACATGATGAATGGAAACGCTAAAATTGTATCTTTAAGTCACCAGACTAGTAGAATATGCAGCTAAAATCATATCCATTCAGTCACCCGACTGTAGAATATACAGCTAAAATCATACCCATTAAGTCACCCAACTAGTAGAATATACAGCATAAATAGCCCTGTATACCTTCTAGTATCCCTCTTAATAGAATTCCAGTATATTCTACAGAATGACCGATATAGCAAGTATGCCAACTAAACATCTATTTAGAAGAAATTAGCTATGGTGTCCCTATTGCAGCTTAGAATTACAATTGTCACCAACAATGTGTTGAATGCTCAGGCTGTCAGGCATCCAGGTGCTCCTAGTTTTTGGTTCCTCATAGTAATACATACTATAACTAGCAAGCATGGTTCCAAATGCACTACCCTGTCTTTGTACCTCCAACCATTCAACTACACAGTTTTCGCTCTCATAGAAATACATAACTAGCAAGCTTGTTACAAATGGACTAGGCTGTCTTTGTACTTCCAACCAGAAACTTACTCGGTTCAACTACTCAGATCTGCTACTTAGATCTACCCCGCAGATAGGCAATAGAACACCAAAATTACCCCCTCGAAATCCAAAAATTCTGCAGAGAAGGCATGTATACATATCTCCAGATCTGCGGGCTTAATTACTTGAAATTTTCAGGTCAAACCCTCGATGAACACATAACACAACATGATTTATCAACAATTAGCGCCACTAGCAACAAAAATCGCAAGCTAATCGCAGCCTTAGGCGAAGAGGAAAACACTAACCGCGAGCGCGAGCACAGCCAGGAATCTCTCCGCCGCGGCGGCAGCGAAGGCCACAAAGGCCACCGCCGACGCCGACGCCGACACCTCGGCGACCCTCTCGGTTCCACACACTGCCGCCGCCGCCGCCATCTCTGCAACAAACAATTTTAAAAAAAAAATTCTCAAAACCCCCCAAAACTTTGTCGCGAACAGACGAGGATTCAGAGAGAGAAACACCCAAATCTGAGCTCGAAACCCTACCTCGAGACCGTGCGCGAGGAGTGGACAGGGAGAGATGCCGATGCGGCCGCGCGTGCAGGCGTGCGTGCGCTCGCGTCGTCTCGCGGTGGTGGTGGTGTTTTGGTCTCTTCACGCGGAGGCTTTAATAGAGGGGGGGTTAGGGTTTTTGGGCTCGGTGTTTGGGTGGCGCGCGGCGCGGCTCGGCTCGGCGGCTCGCCTCGTGCGCTAGGGTTTTGGGGGCGTGAGGCTGCCATGTGGGGCCCACCGGGAAGGGGGCCCTCGACGCGTCACCTTCCTCCAATGGTGGAGGACGATTCAAAAACCGAAACGAGGGTGGTGGTCGTGAGTCTCGTGATTCGTGCACGGGGAGAGGAGGGCGTCGACTAGTGGGTGGGGGTGTCAAGCTACTGGATCGAATTGTTTTTGTCTTTGGATATTTTTTTATTTCCCTCAGGCTGCTGCAGGTAGGGTCCACATGGCAGGGACCTGTTAAGAGTACTCCATCCATCCCATAAACAACAAATCTATGACCATATGTGATATATTCTAGTACGATGAATCTGAACAGATGTATGTCCAGATTCGTAGTAGATATGTCACATCCGGTTTTAGGTTGGTTTTTTATGGGATGGAGGGAGTATGCCCTAAGCCCACAGTAGATGTGAACTTATCCCCTCTCCGCGTTCTAAACAGCTAATGCAGCTTAGCTATTCCCGTTAGCACGTTTTTCAAATTATTAAACGGTGTATTTCGTACAAAAAATTTTCTATAAAAACGATGCTTTAAGAAATCAAATAAATTTATTTTTCAAATTTTTAATAATTAATACTTAACTAATTAAATGCTAACCGCGTTTCTCGTTTTACGTGTAGCTAATCATCCAAACCCAACCGCTGAAAATAACGCGGCCTGAGGGTGTGTTATATATTACTCCCACATTTTTATATTTAGTACCAGTTACCAACTTCTACTCCCACATTTTTCGGACACATGTTTATTGAACTGATAAAGGATGTATTTTTTACAATTTTCCTATAAAAAAGTTGCTATAAAAATTATATTAACTAATTTTTAAAGTTTTTAAGCTAATATGTAATTAGTCATGTGCTAAAGTATTATGTGCAGAGGAGAAAGGTTACCGATCACTACTATCAAACATAGCCTAATTCTTGCTAATCTCTTTTGGGCGAGGGATTAAACAACCCTTTAGAATGGGTGATCATCGTAAGATCAACCTACAAAATTTGAAGAATGACACTATTTTTTTTCCCAATAGTTTAGCATTCTTCAAACAAACGATCTGTTAAGTGACTCAATCATCCCGTCCCCACAAAACCAAACAATGCCGTGCATTGTTCATTTTCATGTTTCACCCAAAAAGTAGTTCATTTTTGCTACCCATGAAAGCGATGGAACTGTGGGTACACTTTTTCCTCGCATGAAGGAAAATGTTTCCATACACTTGTTGATCATCCACCTCGAAACGTGGTTTGACTGAGGTGGAAATTTCCGATGCTTCCCAGGCCTTATATACTCAAATTACATGGACTAAGATATTTATTTTCATTTCTTGATGGATGTTCCATCTTTTTCATGCTATCAGTGGAATCGAAATGTGTTGTAAGATACACTCATCTCGTCTTCTTCAGTTCACAGAACTCTGAACTTAAGGTAGAACCACCCATGGCCTCTTGGTCTGATCATGCAGCAAATATATGGAGCAGTTGCAAAACTCGGTTGCAAGTAACATGCCCAATCCTGACACATTGTACCTCCAAATGTACAGTAATAATGAAGGAGCAATCATGGAGTAATTGGTTCACTTAGGGCAAGTACTATAATGCTAGATGTGTTGCCCCTAAACATGCCACGTAAGATTGTATGATAAGGTGGAAGAAATAAGTGAGGAAAGAGAAGGTGAGCCACCCCTTATATAAGGGATAACCTTCACACAAACCCCAAGAAAAAGAAGATAAAAGAAAGAGTGGATTGGACAAACAAATAAAATAAAAACATTTGAATTAGTATGCTAGAGGTAGTGTAGATGTGATGTATTCTATATATCATCTTTTATCTTACATGGATAAAATTAGATGTGGTAACCACCCCTATTATAAAACTTGCCCTTACAGCAGCCACTGAAGAAAATTTCTTGCAGGACAGAGAACACATGCATGTTCTCTCACAATCAACTAGCCTGTCATGCATGTGCAGCAGGTACTACTGTCTTGATGTCTAGCTCTGATCTGTTTTCGGATACTCCTGATAGAGCATGCAAAATATACTGAAGCAAAAATGGTTCAAGTTGTCAGCTGACTGAGATATGATGTTTTTTTCTGACCTTTTTCTTTTCCCTTTCAATAACAATAAATGTAATCGTATTACAAGCCTAATTTGAGTTTGCAAAACAGGCATGTAGTCACAAAATACCCACAAAACAAAAGGAGGATGCCACCAATCCTCCAGCAATGGATTACGAGGCCACAGAAACATGTAGCCCCTAATCCAGTAACAAAGCACAGCTTCCTGTGCATGACAAAGCAGACAAAAACAAGAACTAAGGTATCCAAATTGCAAAGGTGCTCCAGCCCTGTGCAAAGAATAAGTTTCTATGAAAAGCTTCACAACCAGGAAGCAGACTCTTCGAATGTATAATAAAAAAATGAAGCACAAGAAATCCATATACTGTATCCCATGCAGAACTTGACCTGCAGAGTGAAATCAGAAGCCAAATTCAGTATTGCAAGTGTAATAAAGGAAGAGTTTGATGAACTATGCGATATACTAACTGGATTTAAAGAAGATTAGTTACAAAAATCTGACAAAGATGAATGAACAAATCAGCTACTCAGAAATATTGAAACGTTAATACCGTGACTGATGAGAAAATAAATATTCTATAGTAGCAGCAGAATAACTCAAACAGAACTTCATCTAACAAGAGTTTAGGGACTTGCCGGAGGAACTGCAGTTATGCCTAAACTTCGCTAAACCTAAGGAGTTAATACAGATGGTTCCTAAACTTATCTTTAGAATAATTTAAGATTAATTTCACAGAGATTCCTTTTTGTGGGGAAGCTTAAGTCTATACTAAATTACTAAGTTGTTTTAATCCAAGCCCTTCTAAACTGACCATGAAAAAATACAGAATACATAACATTAGACTATATAGCAGCAATATTTTGTCCATGCAAAGATCAAATCAATTGACAACATGGTATGAACTCTCCATTGGATGCTAAACAAGTTACTGCGACTCAACAGGTTATAAAACAAATATTTTCAGCACATTCAGTTTAGACAATCATCAAAACCAAGCAGTGCAAGGAATCAAAATGTGGACCGCGGTACAAGTAGTCATAAGATCCTAATTCTGATGCACGTAAAAAGACATAAAAAGATGCTTCCTTTACACCCAAATATTTGGCAATGCTTAAAGGCCAAAATGAGGGCTAAAAAGAGAAATGTCATGCACAAACGAGGGTATCATGTGCAAGAAGAGATATATGGTACCACTATAATGATTCTCACCTAAAAGAGAAAACTGGTACTGATAACAATGCTCCGGCATTAAATATGTGCTGGAGCAACTTCATGTATACTATATATGCTCCAGTGCAGTATGCAATTGTGGAACTCTCCGCCTAAATAGTGGCTCAAGACGGAAGGATGGAACACCACGCAGCCACCGTTTAATGTCATACATTTCATTCCAGGCTTGCACAATTTCATCAATCTTGAAGCCCAAACCTATGAAGAAAAGATGCAAACTTAGAAACAAGTTGCGTATGCTTTTGAGAATTAAATGATATATATATTTGAAACATAAGAAGTTGAAAAAAATATTCTGGGTGGTACATAAGGTATATGAGAAATTTGCAATTCATTGTTCCGCAATATTAATGACACTAGAGTTGCTATAATTTTCTAGTTCTGGTATTTTCTAGCAAAATCAACACTGTATATACTATTCCCAGGAGAACATGATGAGATAAAGTAAGTTAAAATTGCCTTACCATCTTGGGCAGTTTCGTTGGCACAGTGGTTTTTAACCAACACAGCAATGTCTGTAGCTGAAGCCCCTCCAAGTTTGAACTTTTCAATAGCTGCCATCAAGCAATCCTCCCACATTGGAAGGCCTAATTTAAACTCCACAACTGAACGTTCATAAAGTAGCATACCCCATAAAATGTTTATCTGAGACCTCATATTAGAAGCTTGTTCAGCTGCGTCATCAGTGGATACATCTTTGATATATTCATCCAAGCCCATCTTCTCCAGCACCACATTCTCCTGGCTAGGTTTTGACCGATTCTTCAGGCGTTGCTCTTCCATTTCCTCCCACATCTCTGTACCCCTCTCCATGTTATCTTCAGCTTTATTGAAGAGTTCCAGGACTTCAGATGATGGCCATGTGTCCAGGTCTACGCTACTACCAATTGCATAATACCATGACAGTTTTGCTTGCTCAAAATGTTGATGTGCAAGTGCAAGAAAACCTTCGAAAAAGTTTGGCTTTGCCTTCACGGCTTCTTCATATCTCCTCCCAGCCTTATTGTACTCTTCTTTTGCCCATTCATACGCTTCCTTCACTTGTTCAAGTACCGATTCCTGTGGAGAGTCTCCTGGCAGTAACAACCTCTTCCTGGCCCGAGACATATGAACATTACCCCAATGGAAAAACGCAAGCGCTGCCATCTCCTGGAAGTTGCTTTCAGCAAGTTGAAACACCTCCTGGGCTTCCTCAGTAGTAATTGTGTCCTCGATAGCCTCGGTGTACAGCTTCATGCTGACCTCATGGAGGTCCAAATACTCATCAGAGCTGACCCCGACATGGTTCTTGAAAAGCCGAGCAAACTGCACAATCCAGTCGTCAATGCAAGTCACCGTGCTCCTATCCTCATCCTGCCTATTGCTTCTGGTACTTCCATTGTCGGAATTCACGTTTCTCTCCAACGGCCCGCTGTTGGTGTCATCAAGATAAGGTTCATGCTCCGGATTGGCCTCGGTGACATAGAGCCTAAGCGAGCTCCCTGGCTCGGCCAAATCCTCAGCCCATTTGAGCTCATCCTGATTGGTGATTGTCACCAGGTCACCCTCTTTGTCCTTGTACTTGACAAGAACAGCCTTGAGCCCCGGAAACTTGCTCCGGACAGCCTCGCGAAGCTGTGCCATGCTGCAGCTCGCCGGCACCTGCGCCCACCTGATGTCCTCACCAAACACAAGCTTCACCTGCCTTGGTGGCTCCTCCACCTCCTTGACAGGCTCCACCACCTTCGCCTCCTCCTCCTCCTCCACAGCCGCCGCCGCCGCCTTGGCGGCCGCCTTCCGCCCCTTCTTCTTGCGCGGCTTCTGCTTCGGCGCGGCGGCCACCACCTCCTCCGGCGATGGCATGGCCTCCTTGTCGTCCATCACGATCCCCTTCTCGTCCATGGCCTTCTTGACACGGTCACCCACGTCGATCGCGGTGAGGTTGTTGGGCTCGACGGCGAGCACCTTGGCGACGTCGCGGTAGGCGAGGTCGAGCCTGCCGAGCGCCTCGAAGCAGCGCGCCCGCTTGAGCAGCGCCTTGCTGTACCTGGGCGAGGCGTCGAGGGCGAGGTTGCACTCGTTGATGGCGCGGTAGTGGTCGGGGGGGCTCATCTGCATGTAGCAGGCGGCGAGGTTGCTGTGGAGGTAGGCGACGTCGGGGTGCCCCCGGGGGAGGAGCTTGATGGCCTTCTCGTAGTTGAGGAGCGCGCGCTCGTGCTCCCGCCGCTGGAACAGCTTGTTCCCCTCCTCCTTGAGCTCCTGCGCCATGTCCGTGAAGATGGTCTCGTCGCCGTCGAGCACCTTGGACCCGGACCGGTCCAGCGCCGGCTTGCCGCCGCCGCCATGCTCGCCGGACTTCCCGCCGCCGCTCTTCTTCTTCAGCGACGGCTTCCCCATCCCAAATCGGCACAAATCCCCTTCAAAATTCTCGCAAAAATCGGTACAACCGAGGTGGAATCGGGTAGAAATCCCACCTTCCCGCGGAGAAATTATTGGAAAAAACGAAGCCGCGCGAGGCTCTGCTCAAAACCCAAGAAGGCTTGAAGAATCCCCCAAGAAGAGGTCAAAGGAAGGAGGGGACAGGAAGGGAACAAACACGGGTGGTCGGAACGACGGAACAGGTGGTGGAAGAATCTCTCGGGACGCTGCGTGCGATGCGTGGAACCAAATCAACGAACAAACCGCAAGGCCAAATCAGCCAGCCAAAGAAACTCAAAATTCTTGAGACGAGACGCGAACGTGAAGAAGAGGAAAGCGTGGGGGGATTATTTTGGAATTTGATGATGCGTGCGTGCGCTGGGTTTTCCGGGTATACGGCATCGGGTCGGCGGGCGCGTGTGGTGGCAGCGGCGGGAGGGGGCGCCGATGCGTGAGCTGGAGTGACGCCGTGGACCGTGGTGGGGGTCGTTGGTTGGCGCCGATTATGACCTGCCAAAACTGGTCTTTCCGCGTAGTAATGACCTGGTAAAAACCGCACTTGCTTAGCTTCTGCTAATACTACTTTCCTTCTTCATTAGGTTAGGGTTTCGTGGCTGCTTTCGGTGACCAGACACCGTGAGAGACCACCTCTGGTGGCCTGGCCCACCTCATGGAATCATGGGCCGCTCTAGTACCGGCCTGCATATCATCAGGCAGGCTACTGGGCCTCTTACCAGGCTACCGGTTCCGGCCCATTGCTTCCCTTCGGCCGGTTCTGAACGCAACCCAGTCCCAGTGATTCGTGTTCAAATAGGCTTTAATTATGCTGCTGTCAATTTCAAACTCATCGTGCAGAGTGTGATAGAGTTTTTCTTGTACTACGTACACAGCCAAGAAGCACATAGAGTTTTCACTCCATCGATCTGACTTGTGTAAAGTGTCTGCGATAGAAAATGCGTACCCATGAGCAGAAGAAAACTGAAAGAAATCGTAAACTATTTCTACCTACGTAACTGCAAGCCTTCCTTGATGAGGTATCAAGTAGCAGTTAGCAGAACGACTTCGATTCCAAACACTGACAGGCTCTCAACTCTCCGTGTGGTACAAGCCCGACGCTTGGTTTACGAACAACCCAGGTGCCACGCTTATACTGATTAACTACCCAGTGCAGCTATAAATCCATATGAACAACGCGAACGTCATTTTGACATGGGGATCGAGTGCTAGCAAACAAGTTGCGATGAACTTTGCAACGCTTGTTTTTATCTCAGTTAACTTTAAATACTCTCAGTATGGAGTAGTTGGAACAAGTGCAGGCAGTATCTGTTTAATGCATGGTTCATTCCTATAAATATCAGTAATCTCCTGTTCCGGACGAAGCAATTTAATTAAGCTCGATCTCAGATTCTCAGAGTGCCAATTAAGCTGACCACAGGTTCAGATCGAGGCGATGATTTCCGCTAAGTTGCCTCTCATTTTCGCTCTACTATCTTCTGCTACTCTCATCTCCGTTGCACCTTCTGTTCGTGCAGCTCGCCTACCATCTTCAGTCCTTGTGAGAGGCGCCGGTGAATTCTTGGAGCACATAGGGAAGGAAATCGCGAATCAGTTGAGTGGGAGCAGAGATTATCCGAACGAAGGTGATCAGTCCAACAGCACCCGGCGGGGCTTGTCGTCGACACCCGGCGGGGTGCAGGAGAAACATGTCGAGCCTCATGTGTTCCTGGGCATTGGCACGCCGGCGATGAACGTCACGCTAGTGTTCGACACCACCAGCGACCTCCTCTGGACACAGTGCCAGCCATGCCTGAGCTGCGTCGCCCAGGCAGGCGACATGTACGACCCGAACAAAACCGAAACCTACGCAAACCTGACCAGTAGTAGCTACAATTACACATACAGTAAACAATCCTTCACCTCGGGTTACTTCGCCACGGAGACGTTCGCCCTGGGAAACGTTACCGTGGCAAACATCACGTTCGGTTGCGGCACGCGCAACCAGGGCTACTACGACAACGTGGCCGGCGTCTTCGGCGTCGGCCGCGGCGGCCGCGGCGGCGTGTCTCTCCTCAACCAGCTTGGTATCGACAGGTTCTCCTACTGCTTTTCGTCGAGCGGTGCACCCGGTTCCAGCGCCGTCTTCTTGGGCGGCTCCCCCGAGCTGGCCACAAATGCAACCACCACCCCTGCGGCGTCCACTCCCATGGTCGCCGACCCCGTGCTGAAGTCCGGCTACTTCGTCAAGCTCGTCGGCGTGACGGTGGGCGCGACGCTGGTCGACGTCGCCGGCGCGTCGTCGGCGGAGGGCGGTGGCCGCGCGCTCGTCATCGACAGCACGTCGCCCGTCACCGTCCTCGACGAGGCGACGTACGGGCCGGTGAGGCGGGCGCTGGTCGCCCAGCTCGCGCCACTGAAGGAGGCCAACGCCAACGCCTCCGCGGGCGTCGGCCTCGACCTCTGCTTCGAGCTCGCGGCGGGCGGCGCGACGCCGACGCCGCCGAACGTGACGATGACACTGCACTTCGACGGCGGCGCCGCCGACCTGGTGCTGCCCCCGGCGAGCTACCTGGCGAAGGACTCGGCGGGCGGGTTGATCTGCCTGACGATGACGCCAAGCTCGTCGAACGGCGTCCCGGTGCTGGGTAGCTGGGCGCTGCTGGACACGCTCGTGCTCTACGACCTCGCCAAGAATGTCGTCTCGTTCCAGCCGCTCGACTGCGCGGCCTTTCTCGCCGCCACAGGATAACGTACGACGACTTCTATACGGAATTAATCCAAGTATTTGTACTATGATTTTGTGTCATTGTGTGTGATTTTGCAGCTAGATTTTTAGTACGTTATGATCGATGTAACTGTATGCATGCAAGCTTGGCCATCTAGATGGCACGTTTGTATAGTTCCATAGTTTGTATGAACCTTTTTTGTGTCGTTAAATTTTCTTTTTATCTTATATTATATTTGAGTAATATATCTGGTGGCTTAACTTACAGATTCGAGATATCATTTTATTTCGATGTTTTTTTCTCGTCATACATTGTTAAACAAAGTGCATCTTAAACTGGCACATCTCCATTCTCCACGCATCCGAAAAGAGGTCCCCATCAGTTGCTCACGGCTGATTATATGCCGCAACGACTTATTACTGATAACAAAATAATTTATAGGTAAAACTTTTAATATGAGTTCTTTGCGACTTAGTAGTAAAAGCCATTGTTAAAAAAACATCAAAAATCAAGTTTTAAAATTTAAATTTTGGCAAGCCGTTGCTTACCATAGGGTGAAAAGCCAGATGAGCCGTGTGAGTGACAGGCCCAATTGGAAGTTCTTCCGCCTACCATGGACCTGCAGGCCCAAACTGTTCTCATCACGGGCCGTTCAATGCGCTAGCCCACCTGCAGGCGTACAGCCGTGCTCCTCTGTGACGTGCTGCGACCAATCAGCGGCTGCCAACTCAGCCGGCCCACGCTCTCCGACACGTGGGTCCCCAACCCGTCACGCGACTTCAGTTCGTCTTCCCCAACGCTAAAAATAAACAAATCTTCTGAGAAAAAGAAAAAAGAGAGAGAGAGAGAGAGAGAGGGAGGAGAGCTGAACTGAAGTCGCCGGCGCCGCCGCGGAGAAGCGAAGCCCGGCGATCTACCCGACCGTGGAGAGGGAGCAGCTCGTCGGGGAGGAGAGGGGGAGGATGCATTCGTTCGGGCACCGCGCCAACGCGGTGGCGACGTTCGCGGTGACCATCCTGGCCGCCATGTGCTTCGCCGCCTCCTTCTCCGACCACTTCAACTCCCCTTCCCCCACCGCCTCTGTCAAGGTAAACCTCGCCGGAGCCCGCGCCCGCGCCGCGCCCCGCCGCTCTATCTCTCTCAACCCCCTCCTCGCCTCGCCTCGTCTGTACCGATCTCGGCCAACTTAATTCGCCGCCGGCTGCTCGATCTGCGTGCTCTCCCTGCTTGATTAGCTCGTCCGATCTCTCTCTCGCGAGCCCTTTCGTTCTGCTAATTATTCTGTGTCGTTTTAATTGCGCAGATCTTGAACATAAACTGGTTTCAGAAGGAAGCCAACGGCAACGACGAGGTGATTCATATCATTTTTTCTCTCTCCTGAAACTCTAAAAGTTTTGTTCAAACAACATTAAGATATGCCATGAACTCACACAATTATGTTTCCTCTGGTAGGTCAGCATGACGCTGAACATTTCGGCTGACCTCTCGTCTCTGTTCACGTGGAACACAAAACAGGTAAACTGTACTAGTATTGCATTATTATTGATACCTTATGAGCTTCTTAGATCTCCCTATAATGCATCAAGGCAGGATTCTGACAAAAGGATCAAGTAAATTAGTTTATGAGTTATGGGCTTATGGCAATTGTGAAATAGGCTCAACTAAAGGAAGGCAAGTTCTCCAACACATATCTTGTGGGTGAAAGAGTGAAACAAAATGGAAGTTTGTTGCTATGTTTTCCAGGGGAGTGTAATTTGTTTAGTGATTCTGGTGTGCAGAATGACCTCAATGCATTTTGAGCGGTGGTTTGTTTTCTATAAGTTTTAATGTAGTTTTATGTTGTCATGCTCTGAAGTTCATATGGACATGCCATCTAAACTCTTTTCGATACTAAAGAAGTTTTTCCTGCTGCTGCTTTCTTAATGATACTTCCTTGGATGTTTGTAGGTCTTTGTTTTTGTCGCAGCTGAATATGAGACTCCACAAAATGCCTTGAATCAAGTGAGTCTATTGATGATTATTTTTCGATGCTCTGTTGTCTACTATCTTCAAATATTTACATGGCTTTCTTCTGTACGGGAAACAAAATGTCCACAGAGATCACTAGTGGGTGTGTTGTCACTCTGGAAGCATAGAACCACGATGATTTTGCCTCACCACGCATCATTATTATGTTATCACCACTAGTTTCTCACATTCTTATTGCTCTGTTTAATCACAAGGATCCTGATCCAAACCATGCTTTAGGGGCTAAGTGGATAGATTATTTCCCACTGCTCCTATCTAGGTTTATTAACCATAACCACTCTTTAAGGGTAGACCAAGCAGTTCTCAGTGCTTATTGGGTACAGTTCACAAACACATGCCTTGGGGTTAGTCAAATCAACTTCCATCCTTTCCATCATCAGTTGTGATGATTTATTTTGGGAGCTCCGCTGTATGCTACTGCAATGTCCTAACCTGCCTAACGTCGATCTGAAATAACTCAAATTTAATACACTATAAGGCCCTTTTTAAAAATTTTGAACCCATGGGTGAGCCAAAAAAGAGCATATATTTTATAGTTTCTTTGATGCACCTTATGACTAAATGGAATACTTGATATTTTACTTCAACAAATATGATATTAATTTCTCTGTATCAGTAGTTGGAGTCATTTTTCTTGCCTGCAGCCATTATCTTTTGTATTTCTGAAGGCCTATGTTTTATTCAGGTTATCCTCTTCAAATTATAGTTGTAATGTTCATATTGGATTCACATCACAGGTTTCCCTCTGGGATGGCATTATACCATCAAAAGAGCACGCCAAGTTTTTGATCCATACAACAAACAAGTACAGATTTATTGACCAGGTTAGCACATTTCTTTGATTGCATGTTAATTTAGTGAAATTCATCTAACATAATTAGTTTGATTGTGGTTGTTGTTTAGCATTTCAAAGTAGAGGGATTATTCCTTCCATGAAAAAGATAAGGGTCATTTTGTGTTGAGTAGATTGTTTAAAATATGTCTACTTGATGATTGAGGTGTGCTTGTTCTGAAATATTTATGAATGAGAACATTTTCTCTTTTTCGCATATTGTGTTTTGGATGGGCTATGTCAATTGGTCCTAAACTCGTATATATTGTTTTGTACTTGAAAAAAATTCTGAATGCATGAAGGCTCACTTTTTCCTTAGTGATGTTTTAACATAGGGTAGAGTGGTTGGTCCTAAGCACCGAGCACAGATTTTTCACCAACAGCTTTTGGGTGGTGACTCCTGCTATATGCCTTGACTGTATTAGTCTCGCCTTTTTAGTTTTTTTTTCTTTTGTGAAGATATCCTGTTCTGTTCTTTGCTGATTACATACTGAATGTAGGTTGCAACCATTTATCTAAATATTTGCAATGGCACATTATTCATTCACACAGTTGATTTCATACCCTCATCTTTTTATTTGGGTTGCAGGGAAGCAACCTCAAAGGAAAGGATTTTAACCTGACAATGCACTGGCATATTATGCCAAAGACCGGCAAGATGTTTGCAGACAAGATAGTCATGACAGGTTATCGGCTACCTGAACAGTACAGATAGAAGAACCTGAGTTAGCTCAATGGATGCTTTGCTATACAAATGCAGTGGTTATTGCGGGGAGCAGACATTGCCTATGCTAAGTTTTTTGTTCTAATCGTAGCAAAACATGTAATCTTTTGTGCTTGTGTTCTAACTGAAACCAGGCGATACATATGTTGTTTGACTCGTCATCCAGAAGTTGAGAAAGATGTAACAGTGTAGTGCCCTTTTGATCGAGAACCCAGGCGTTGCAAACTTGCAATCACGTTAATTTCAATGTTTATGTAGCAAATCCTAGTATTTGCAGAGTCGACGTTTGAAGGAAGAGTGCATTGGTTTTTTCTTTCCCGTTTGGAATGAGAGAGCTTTGCTTTTGGTTTGGATGTCCACCTCGAATTGAAATGGCATCTTCTCATCGATCTTTCTGAGAAAACGGAGAATATACCACTCTATACGTGGGGTTTTGATGAAATGACACTTAATAAGATGCACCGGATAAAATATCACTAAGTACGTTGCCAACCGGATGAAATGCCACTTTGAGGAATTTTTAACCATTTTTATGCCCGAAATGGGCCTCACCAGGAGGAGGCGGCGGCGGCAACAGGGGAAGGACAAGATGGCGAGCGGGCTGACGAGCGGCGCGGGGGGGGGGGGGGGGACAAGATGGCGAGCGGCCAAATGGGGCGGATGAAGAGGCGACGATGAGGGAGGAGGATGGGGCGGAGAGCGACAAGTGCGCTCGCCGGGAGGCAACGACAACAGGGAGAGGAGGCGGCACGGGGGAGGAGGACCGGGCGGCGAGTAGCAGCAACCGAGCGATGATGGGGACAACGAGTCCATCTCCACCTGTCGTCACCACCTCCTCCCTCCACCCCGTCGTCCCAGCTGCCACCTTGGCCGCCACCCTCCCTCTCAGTCCTCTCCTCCTTCCAGTGAGGCCTCCAGTGTCGTCGTGCCGCCCGCCCGGTCCTCCCCGGGCGTTCCCCTCTCCCTATCCCTTCACAGCCACAACCAAGGGCATTTCGGGCATAAAAATGGTTAAAACTCCCCAATGTGACATTTCATCGACTAGACAACGTACTGAGTGATATTTTATCTAGTGTATTCTTTGAGTGGTATTTCATCGCCCACGTATAGAGTGACTGACATATTGTCTGTTTTCTTCGATCTTTCCAAGGTCACTCCTTCGATTTAAGGAATGTGGGGCTGGACGAAGTAGGCGCGTCTGCCTTGCGGCGACATGAGGTGGTAGCGGAGCTTGGTGAGCTGGAGCTCGCCGCCGGCGGAGCGCCTCAGCCGCACTGCCATGGTGACGACGGCGGTGCGCGCGACCATGTCGTTTGTCTCGGGGCGGTCGTGCTCGACGCCGGCGACCCAGCAGATGCAGAACCTTCCGTCGCCGACATACACCAGGTTACCAGGACAGTCATACTGCGAGTGCGCGGCCACCAGCTCCCTGGGGAAGGTCTCGTTCCACGACCGGCGGATCACCGGCGGCCTGGCCTCGACGTCGCAGGCGCACAGCCACAGCACCACCCCGCCGTAGGGGCCCGGCCCGCGTCCCAAGCCGATGGCGGCGCCGAGCTCCCGCACGTACATCGCCTGCCCGTGGAGCGGCAGCTCCCAGCTTCCCTCTTTCCGCCACGCCGCCGCGCCGCCGGCGTCCAGGGAGAAGGTGCCTTCGCCGGCTATGGAGACACACGCTCTCCGGCCGATGGTCATGTAGGCCGTCACGACGGGCGCTGGCTTGCGGCAGTAGTAGTCTCCGGGGCCCCCGAGCGGCGGCTCCGGAACAGGGACGACACGCCACCCGCCGCCACCACCGCCGCCGTCTGGGAGCCGCCGCATCACGGCGAAGTTACTCCGGCCGGCCGGCTGTGGAAGATAGGCCATGACGAGCACCATGTCTTCCCGGATAGGGAGCAGGATAGGCTGGCACGTGGTGGTGCCCAGCTCCGGGCCGGCCCGCATAGCGCCGCTGCCACCGGGGCGGCCGTCGTCTTCGATGACGACGGTGGCGCCGAAGGGGCTCACCCCGAGGATCTGCTTGCCGGAGACGGTGAAGGAGTGAAACACGTAGTGGTAGTAGCCGCGAGGGAAGTGCGCCACGGGGCGCGGAAAGCGGCGCCGCCCCGCCGGTGGCGGGTCGTCGTCGTCGGAGAAGAGATCCTTGCGGCGGAAGCGGAAGACCAGGCTGCCTTCCTTGTCGTCGAGCACCACCGCATAGACGACCCCACCACGTCGCCGGCGGCGGTTCGCGGCCCTAGCCATTGTGGCGGCGCGTTGAGCTGAGAGCGGTTTCCGTCACCTTATATTAATTCAGTTGGCACTGTCACGTACTCCAATTCGAACTCGGTTTTTTAGTTGCCATCAATTACAGATACAGCCCACGTACAGATCGAGGAGGTAGGCCCGGCCCATACATTCCTCTTCGTTTGTAAATAAGGTCCAAAAGGCCCAAAAGTGCTATACATTTGCAGTAACAAATTGATATCGTTTCATGTTATTCTTCCAGTTCAGAATCAGTAAAAGCAAGTTTAACAGTATAGCTAACTATTAGCTTTAAATCATCTATAGCTAATAAAATAGCCAATTCATACAATAGTTGTTTACTACATTATTAATATCTGGTCATACCTGTCATACACACATTACGTAACATTACGTATTGAAGTTCGTGCTGTACCTGGCTACATATCTGTAGCCCGCTGTTTTTCTCTCTTTTCCTTTATCTTTTTAAAATATGTTTATAGCTGGCTTATAGTTTGCTATTGTACCTGCTCTTAAAAAAAGTATAATTACATGTGACGTTTCTACGTGGACGAGTAATCTCCTCTTTTAACTTTTTACTTGAATGTGTGCGTGCATGCCCCCGTCAAGCAGAAATAGCTGCTGTAAATTCCTGACCATTTCACTCTCTTGACCGCGAGTAATTTTTCCAGACGGCCTGGACAGACCACCACTAGACCAAGAAATTAAAGAACGCATGCCAACGTAATTGGAAATTAAAGATTCAATACCTTGACCGCTTTAACCCCTTCTTCCCCGAATGTTGCAACCAACGCGTTAGCTGCGATTGACGCCTTACACACCACGTCGCACTTTGAGCTCGCACGTGCTCTGCTAAAATTGACCAAATTGGGAACCTTAATTTGATCAGTATGGATTCTAATCAACTAGACCGGTGACTGAAGAGCTTCCACCAACCATGAACGGGCCTGATAAGCGATAAAATTGTCTGAAAATTCTCAGGAGTGTGGAAGAACCGATCTCGCAGGTAGCAACCGGCAACAGTTAATTGGCTGGGGAAGTTAATTTAAGTACATGTAAGATTAGTAACGGTCGCCATGCTGCTTGCAGTGATGTGTGCTTGTCAGTTTGTCAGCAAACCAAATTTTGATTAAAACGCCCGTACTTACTAAAAGAGTACTAGTTGGTATACTCGGTATTATTAGCAGCAAATTGAGACGGACATGCCGCTGAAAATTCGTGTCTACAACTCTAGCTGACCAAACAGTTGGGTGATACTGTTTAATTTATACAGTAATTTTGCCACGTTTGAAACAGTTTATTGATTGAATTATGGCTCATTTCTATTTGATTACAGGAATATATAAAATATTTTGGCAAATAAACTTAATAGTTTTAAAACAAGTGGTCTAAAGTCTGAACAATGAAAATGTATACAGTACACACAAGCTTTCCATACATGCGAACTAATAACTATCATCAAAAGTTTTAGAAAAATACACATGTTTTCCAATATTATTATATCTATGTGCAAAGTTTCATCTTTAATTTTATTATATTTAAATCGTAAAAAAGATAAATTTCTGACACATTAATTCGTACATTTAAAACGGTTAGATTTTTCATCTTTTTTTTTGTTGTCATGGTCAAAATGTAATGAATTTAAAGTTCATACTACATATATGTATAATATTATTAAAAGTACGTACATGTACATTTTTTAAAAGATTTTTCAGTTATACTTATTACTTCCTCCATATTTTAATGTATGACGCCGTTGACTTTTCAACCAACATTTGACCATTCGTTTTATTCAAATTTATGGCATGCTTAAACATTTGATGACGAATCAAGTCACAATAAAATAAATGATAATTACATAACTTTCTTGAATAAGACAAATAGTCAAACATTGGATAAAGTCAACGACGTCATACATTAAAATATGGAGGTAGTAGTTTGTTTACACGGAATACAGGTGTAACGTAAGTACGTCTACAGTATATGTTCGCTTAAGCAGTACAAGAAAAAAAGGTTTTTAACACCCCAAATATATTTTTGAAAACGTAGAGCAAATAATCCGTTTCAATGATCCAATAAATAAATAATCTAATTAAGCTTTAGCCGGTCAGATCATCGTCGTTGAATCGGCCATCGGTGATCGGTTGATCGAATGCCGCGCTAGGTAGCAATAGCATAGCTACATGCTGGGTTGGTTGGTGGCGCCGTGCGTGGCGGTGGCCGATCGCGATCATCGATGGCCGGCGTCAGTACGTCTTGACGACTAGTGAAGAATTCGATCAGGGTATTGCTACGACCAGCTGCTGGTTCTCTGAATTCCGGCGAGATATATATCGATCGATCGTACATAGTACTCCCTCCATCTCAAAGATATATTATTTTGACCGTTCGTCTTATTTAAAAAAATTAAGTAATTATTAATTCTTTTCCTATCATTTGATTTATTGTTAAATATACTTTTATGTATACATATAATTTTACACATTTCACGAAAGTTTTTGAATACGATGAACGGATCAAATATGTTTAAAAAATTCAACGACGTCAAACATTTAAGAAAGGAGGGAGTACGTACATACATGGTGCCGGTGGCAACGGCGGCCGAAGCACGAGCTAGCAACAAGTCTCTTCTCCGGCCGGCGCTCGCTTGCTTTGACGCTGGAATTAATTGAAGCGAATTAGCGCGACCGATCGACGGCCAAGTGGCTAGCTATAGCTTTCATTTCATATATACTGTTATAATCCATGCATGCATGCTAGTACAAATTAAGTCGTAGTTACGTAATGAAACGTCGTTACTTCAGGCCCAGGAGCACGTACTAGCTAGCAATCGCAATTTCCATGCAGTTTCTTTGATTTCATTCGATCTTGCACTGCATGACGAATTTCAAAAGACAATGATATATTGGTCGCGATCGTCGATCGGAAACACACATGAATCAATTAACCGATCGATCTAGCTAGCTATCGAGAGAGCTGCTCATGATTATATATCACAGTGACGGGAGTTGCCAGATTAGAATTAAGCTGGTCGAGAAATGTAATTAATCGGTCCAAGTCCGCGTTGAATTATC